GATTTGAGGAGGATGAAGTTGTCTCAGCCTTGAAGCAAATAAAACCTAAGATGACTACCGGACCGGAAAGTGTACCAGCTTTTATTTTGCCTGACTGTGCCTCTGTGTTGGCGGGTTCTTTGACAGTTTTATTCAACTTGTGTCTTACCACCTGCACAAGTCCAGAATTATGGAAGTTGTATACAGTATGTCCAATACACAAAAACGCCAGTAGGAATGATGTATCAAATTTTAGACCTATATCAAAATTGTGTAATTTTTCAAGAGTTCTAGAGATATTAATATATAACAGACTATATCATCATGTCAGCAGGAAAATATGTGTTCAACAACATGGTTTCAGAATCAAATGAACTTCACACAGACCATAGCAGAAAACATTGATAGAGGATTACAAACAGATGTGATCTACACAGACTTCTTCAAGGCTTTCGACAGAGTTGATTACAGGATGCTATTGCATAAGCTGAAATCTCATGGATTATCCTAGTCTTTAATAGAACTATTTAAGTCCTATCTCACTGGAAGAAATCAATTTGTGATGTTTAATGGCAACAGATTATCGGAGTATGTAGCCAATTCCGGAGTGCCACAAGGCAGTAACCTAGGGCCTTTATTGTTCGTCATATTTGTGAATGACATAGTTAATGCTGTTGGCGAGTATTGTTTACTTTACGCTGATGATCTGAAGATGTTTTGTCGTGTAGTTAATGAATCAGACTGTGATCAACTTTTAGAAAATCTGGTTAGATTGGATGCTTGGTGCTCACAAAACAATCTACCATTAAACATCAATAAATGTTACGTAATGTCTTCCACTTTGAAGAAAAATCCTCTGTTTTTTGACTATACCCTGTCAAGTACCTCTATTCAGAGGACTTCAACTTTAATGTGACTTAGGCGTGACATTTGACTCCCAACTATCATTCGTCAAACCACATTGACAGCAAAATTTCCGAGGCAAACCGCATGTACGGCTGTATTGTAAGAAACTGCCGTGACTTCACTTAGAGTACCACCTTGAAGTTGCTGTATTATGCATATGTTAGGTCGAAGCTTGAGTATGCATTGCTAATTTAGAATCCGCATCATATTATTCATATAAGTAGGCTTGAATGTGTTCAAAGACGTTTCTTAAAATATTTGTCACTGAAAGTGGATGGCGTTTACCCGCCCAAAAGGTATACCTCATGATTGCTTACTTGAAAAACAATCTAATCACCAGTCTTGAAGCAAGGCGCACTTGCCAGTAAGTGATTTTTCTGTTTAAATTGATCAATAATTCTAGTGATGATTTAGTTTTCTTGGGTCAGTTATCATTTAACGTGCCTAGGCTGACATCCCGACAAAACGTTACGTTTTATCTACCTGCGGCACGGACAAATTATTTACATTATTCCCGTTTGCATGTGATGTGTAGGAATTACAATTCTGCAAGTTTACCGGATTGATATATTTAACTGCAGGGTGTTGTAATGAATAAAATAAAAATAAATCATGCTCTCACACACGCAATGAAGGAAACATTATCTGGAAACAATATTCGACCCGAGAACGACTGAAAGGCGTCTATCTGAAAGGTATAATACTGATTAAAATCTCTGTGAATTGTGTTACATTCATCCTGCTCCAAAAGAAGAATACTCGCTCGAATTTAAATGAACCCAAATTTAGAGGATGAGGGAGATACAGTTGTTGCCCTAACACTGCACTTCAAAGGATACAGCGTGAAATTATTATACAGCGTGTTCTTAAATCGAATCAAAAATATTAATTTTCGTTGCCACTATAGATAAGCGGAAGCAATGAGGATATAATTAATATGAACCCGGCACAGAAAGACAACAGATTTCGGTGCAAATTGGTGAAAAACTTTCGTATAGGAATTATAGAAGTTATGAAAGGGAGAAGCAAAATTTGTGGTAAAATTATATTTTTAGCCATTAATTAGATTCGTAGATGTCGAAAGCCGCAAAAGAACTACTTCCCAGTGGGTTCTTACCATTAATAATTCAATTCCTGATCCTTTTACCAACATAATGTTTGTTGAAGAAATTCTCAAAACTTCAAAAGCTTTAAATTAAACAACTGTTGTCTGCTACTACTTCCTCAGCATCTATCGAAAGACATTTGGTTTGGTAAATACCAAACTTAGAAATCGCTTGGGAACCGAAAAAGTCGCTAAATTACTTTTCCTGTAAACGTCTTTAACACATGGTTAGTCTGAGTACCGTTTTTATAATTCAATGTACATAATACCATTTATGTATTCGTTAATAATTTTTATTTGTTTTATTTATTCATGTAGGTAATATAAACTACAAACTGTTTTTGTTGTAAGCTGTGTTTTCTTAAGTTTAATTTATGATTATTTACGTTGGACTGATGAGGATAGTTATGTTTTTCACATAATGTATGTAAACTCTTAGATTTAAATGAACTGTCTTCCTTTTCTTTAATCCCCTGATGAGTTATTTCAGTTATTTGCTTCGGCGACCTGTTTTATAGCAATTTATGATTTGATTTAAATCACGATTGAAACTGAAAAAATCAATTAATTTAAATCATTTTTAAATAGTTGCAACCTTGCTAGATACTTAAACTAGATTGTCCACTGTAAATGGCCATTCCCGACGAATTATTATCCGATATAACCTATTAAGTACAGGGTCCGGCAATGAAGTATGGTGTTTTTGAAAAAAATTACAAACTTTCATTTTTAAACATACATCAAAATTTATTATTTTAATACATTAGTGGAATGATGCCATTTAAGTAACATAACATAGTCAGGTGCGAAAAATTACATCAGTTAGGTGGCGTCCATTCTTGTCGATGCATTCTTGGAGACGGATTGCAAAATCATCCATACTCCTTTCTAGCAAGGCACGAGGAATCCTTTCAATTTCGCGCGTTATGAGTTCCGAAAGAGCCTCAAGAGTTTGAGGTTTGTCTATGTAAACTTTGGATTTTAAATAGCCCCATAAAAAGTAGTCACAACATGAAAGGTCTGGTGACCGAGGCGGCCATTCCACATTTCCATGCAACGAAATAAGGCGCCCAGAAAAATGTTCCCTTAAAAAGCCCATTGCAGCTCTTGATGTATGGCAAGTCGCCCCATCTTGTTGGAACCAAACTGTATTGATGTCAATGCGTCGTCTTCTTAGTTCGGGCAGAAAATAATCACGCAACATGGCGCAATAACGATCTGAGTTCACTGACACTGTTCGTCCGTTTTCACGAAAAAAATACGGGCCAATTAAGCAATTTCGAGATACGGCACACCAAACAGTTACCCTCTCAGAGTGCAGAGGTTGTTCATGCAGTTCTCGTGGGTTTTCGTGTGCCCAGTATCGGAAGTTTTGTTTGTTTACCATGCCCGATAAATGAAAATGGGCCTCGTCACTCATGAACAAAACGATGTTGCCGTGCAGCAATTCCAGCATCCTTTCTGCGAACCTGTGTCGTCTCACAAAGTCATTTTGGAGCAGCTTCTGCACAACCATAATTTTATACGGATGGTAATGGAGGTCCAAATGCAAGATTCTGCGAACTGAACGATCTGACATTCTAAGAGCGCGAGCATGACGTACCTAACGGTGAGGGCTAGTATCCACCGCTTGTTGCACTCTTTCAATGTTTTCCGGAGTTAGCACTGTTCGATCTCTTCCCCTTGCAGTACCAGGTCTCAACGATCCGGTTGTTTGAAATTTATTCACCCACTTCAAAATGGTATCGCGTCTTGGAACGCGACCATGCCGACCAACGTTAAAATGGTTTCGAAATCGTCGCTGTGTGAGCACAACAGAACGACCAGTTTCAATAAAAGTGTTGTAAATAAACACGCGATGTGCCACAGACCACGGTTCCATGGCTACTAAAATGGCATCGCGGAACGAGTAGATATCAATCATCGTGAAAACAATTGGCTCGACAGTGCTGCATGTAATAGTCGTTGCAAAAACACCATACTTCATTGCCGGACCCTGTACATTCTACCGTCCTATTGTAGATATACAGGGTGTCCGCAAAGTTGGGGTTTTCCTTTTCAGAAACAACTATCCTTGAAATAACAAAGGTAATGTGTAGTGAAACGAGGGCGACCAAGTAAAAAAATAAATAAAGGAAAAAGTACTCACTCTCCAGTTGACGAGAAGGGCTAAGTACGTCTCTGCCCGAAATCATACCGCTCCAAGAGAAAATGAAATCAGCTGATGCGCTACCGAGTAGACGCAGGCAAACAAGGAAGGCAAAATGTTGCGTAAAAAGTCTAGGTATTGCATCCCGTCCAATCGATTTGGGAGAATAAATGGTCTAATGAGCATACCGTTGACCATGCCAGCCCAAAAATTCACCGAAAATGTTTGTTGAAAATGTGCCCGACGGACAGCGTGCGGATTTTCTACTGACCAAACATGAGTGTTGCAAAAGTTATTCACCCCATTACGCGTGAACGTAGATTCGTCTGTCACCAATATGCACTTCAAAAAGTCCGGATTATTGTCATGTTGATGCAACAACCACTCATAAAACCGCACTCTTGCTGGAAAATCGTCAGGTTGAAGGGCTTGTACACGTTGGACGTGAAACGGATACAGCCCCTATTCACGCAGCGTTTGCCACACTTTAGTTTTTGATACTTGCACTTCTCTAGCCACGTCTCTAGTGCTTGTTGAGGGATTCTCGTCTACGCGATTACCTCTACACGCGTGACCGTAACCGTCGGTTGAAGGTTGCATACTGACCTGACACACTGACCCCGACCCAGTTCTGTCGTCGGGTTGAGCTAGTGACCTTGTACCAGTCGGTGATGTCGCGGCTACAGGGCGGTATTCAAATATTTTTGATGTTGCAGAGCCCTTTATCTCGGTTCCCTTAAGACATTGGTGTATATGGTACTAAGAAAAATTGCTTATGTTTTCAAGATCTACACGTCGTGTAAAGGAAAACCCCAACTTTGCAGACACCCTGTATAATTACCATAAAAAAGTTTGCCTTACCTGATTGGGTTAAACATTGTTTCAATGTTTGTTCTACCCTTTGGAGTAGTCCTTGAGCTAGACTTTCCATGTCCGCTCTTTTCATATCACCAGAGACGTCTTTGTCATTCATGAAGCACTCTATGTTCAAAGGCAATGTCGTTGAGTTTGCCGACATTTGCTTCTTCAATTTCTCTGCTTCAGCTAGCAATCGAATGAACGCCCTGAAATTAATAAACAAAACTTGTTGGCTAATGGCAAATTCAATGTATGGAAAAATGATAGATCTCTGTCGAAATGATGCTCTGGATACGCTCACAAGACATAACATATTTCTCTGAATGCAGGTTAACCCAGAATTTTTCAAAACATCAATAGTTATTCCCGTTCATAAAGGCGGCCTAATTGATATACCAGAAAATTATAGACCCATAAGTTTAGTCACTGTTATAGCAAAAATAATAGAAAAAGTAGTTCAAATTGGATTAACAAGCTTTCTAAAAATCAACAAAATCAGAAGTGATAACCAATTTGGTTTTCAAAAACAAAAAAAAAACAGTTATACCCAGATTCAAACGACAAACAGATTTCAATTGCTCTTTTTTGTTACTTTTCTAAAGCTTTTGATTGTGTAAATCATGATATATTATTGAAAACATCAAAAAAATATGGTTTAAAGCAAATAATATATCCCAAATTGTCAGAGTACCAAGACATTATACTTCAAATAAATGTAAAGACTGGGGTATATAAAGGATCAGTACTAGATCAGATCCTATTTTTAGTTTATATTAACGATTTAATACATTTAAACATAAATGGTAAATTATTTTTTTTGCTGACGATACCACAATACTTTGCCAAGACATATAGATGAAATTAGGTCAAATATTGACAGTGAAAATCAAAAAAAAAAATGATTATGTGATCACAATTATTTAATTTTCAGTGTTAGTAAGTTAATTTATGATATTTATATGCTCAATTGATACTAAAAATTTAAATAATCAACTGATACACAAAACAGACACCATCAAATTTTTAGAACTGACCATTCACCATGAATTAAATTTTCGTAATCATGTAGACCAATTTTCTGAACTAGCAAAGATTTCTTTTATTATAAGAACAATTACAACATAGGGAAAGGGCACAGCCTTAAGCAGCTACTTCGTCTTATTTGAAAGTAGACTGAGATGTAGCATTCCCTTTTGGTGTGTGTTCCCAAAATTGTTTAAAAAAGTGCTTATTCTACAAGAACGGACTATTAGATATATAACTAAAAGCAAAATCCTAGAGCTACATGCAGGTCTTTATTTTTTAATCTTAAAATAATGACCGTCGCATCATTGTTTATTTTTCAAACCACAACACTTATTTTCAAAAATAAATCTAAATTTATAATGGTCTGAAAATAACATGTCTCCCTGATAGTATCAAAATTATAAACAATTTAAAGATATATTTTGCAGTGAACAAAAAACGTCCCTTATTTGTCAACCATATTATGTTATGTGTGAGTTCTACAATTTATTTACTTCAGATCCACATATGTAATTTTGTTTAATTTCATGTTAGCTTTGTTATTAAAAATGATTGTATTCTTTTGTGGCATATCGATTTATTCACAATTTGATGTGAATAAATTAATATAATTAAGACAATTTATCTATCTATACAAGTGACATAAATCCGAACACCCAGTTTAAATGGTTTTATTTTAATAAAATTTTGTATAAGTACTTAATGAAGCATAATAAGTAAATGATAAAAATTTCAAAATGATTGCACTGCTTTAAAGCCCTTTGACCTTTAATAATGTGTGGATCCACCCTGATGCGCTACGCATTCTCCAACGCGCCTAGGCATGCTTCTGATCAGGTGGTCAATGTCCTCCTGTGGTATCTCATTCCAGGCAACCACCAACTCCTCTCGAAGTGCTTCTAGAGTCTGAGGAGGACGTTGCAAATTGAGCAATCTCCTACCCATCATATCCCACACGTGCTCAATTGGGGATAAGTCGGGAGATCTTGGTGGCCATGGTAACAATGTGACATCATTATGTTGAAAGAAGTCTATTGTGACTCTTGCAACATGTGGTCGGGCATTATCTTGTTGGAAAGTTGGATCTGCCAGGGTGTCAAGATAGGGTAAAAGATGGGGTTCTAGAACTTCGTGGATATAACGCTGCGCGTTCATGTTACCTCTGATGAAGATTAAAGGTGACCTGGAAACATAAAACCGTAACTCCAACAATGTGATGAACATGTCTTTCAACAAAAAACTGTGGATTCCTCCTTTCACCACGTCGCCTTCTAACCCTGGCACGACCATCGTGCATGCCTAAACAAAATCGAGACTCGTCACTAAAGACAATACTGTTCCATTCCTGATCCCAGAGTGACCGTTGTCTGCACCACTCAAGGCGATTACGTCGGTGTTCTCGAGTTAAAGGGAGGACCCAGTGTGGCCGGTATGAAAACAAGCCAAAACTTCTCATTCGTCGGTAAACACTTCGCATGCCAATAGGTCTTCCGTGTTCTGCAAACCATTCATTTGCAATGGACCTGGTAGTGGAGAAACGGTCCCTTAAGGCCAATAATATCTTAGGCGGCGATCTTCACGGTCTGTTGTTCTACGGCGGCGTCCAGTGCCCCTTGCTCTTTGCGTACGGCCTTCTCGAAGCCATGCCTGACAACACCTAACCACAGTGTCTACACTTCTTTGCACTCTACCTGCAATTGCCCGAAAAGAAAGTCCAGCTTCCCGAAGTCCCACTATACGGCCCCTATGAAACTCACTAAGTTGACGAAATCATACAGGTCTCCGTACTTTAGGCATCGTAACCGATCGTGAAGGATGTCAAGAACCAAAATCCGCCAACGTTGATTCTTTACTGCGGCTGAAATATTCATTTTTAGAGCGTTAGTGAATTAAAAAAAAGCAGTATAAAATCCGGAATGTCCAACTGATAAGGCTGAAAATTTTTTCACTTGTTATTTACAGTAAGATAAATACATTCACCAACTTTTATTAAAATAAAACCATTTAAACTGGGTGTTCGGATTTATATGTCACTTAGTATATATTGTAACACTGAAAAGAAGAAAAACCAAGTTCATCAGCATACTTTTGAAACTGAACAGCAGTTAAGAGAATTTTGTAATGAAAGCATTTAATATAAATTAAACCAGAAATATTACGTGATGTTTTGAATTCTCCTGTTAGAAGATCATGTTTATGTTTAGAAAAGAATGGCAACATATTTGAGCATCCTAAAAAGTGCCAATGAAAAAGTTCCATCGATTTTTTGATATTTCTTAAAATAAAGTCAGAAAAAATAAAAACCAATTAGCCTAATTTTAATGTTACCCAAATACCTCAGTAAACCATGACATTTTCACAAGTTTCTCAAAGGCTATAACTACGCCCCAAATAACGCAGCTTTTTCCTAATTCAACCCAAGCTGTATCTCCCATGGGTTATTGAGATCTGGGACACCTTGTATACTGCATATAAATATCTATTTATTTTCAGGGTAGCAGTTTGATAATTTTGAGGGTAAAACGATAAGTATACAGATTTGGCATATGCCACTATTTTACAATCCCTAACAACCTCCGTTAGGTCTACTCGTCGTTGCTCCTCAAGGGGGTAAGGCACGGGTATTATGTAAAAAACCTATAAAACGTAAAAAAAAATCTATGAGATGTCATCTTGCAGACTAGGTAGTTTTTAGGGTGCAAACAGTCATTCCACGTTTGCTCACTAGGATCGTTGTTCGCGTCCATCCATGGAGGAATGGTTCAACTACACGCATTGTTGGTTGCATATGTTGTGTGAAGCCGAGTAGTCTATAGTTTCCATCTCATCGCATCTGGATGATTGTGCGTATTAGTCTGCATGAGCATAAAATCAGTGATATTTGCTGTGTGAGAAAATCATTACTAAATATGCTGCCAATGAAGTATATCTATTAAGTTATAAATTATAATCGTTTGCATTTTTTTGTGTTTTCAAAAACTTTGAGGAGGATTACGGGAAATCACCACCGCGCCCGCGTTGTGTGTAAGTAATGTTAGCATGTATATGACTTGTAATTCGACAGTGTACAGTGAATATGAATTATTTCTTATCTCTCTCATTTTTGAAATTCAGCAAATTTGCATATCGCCGGACATCTGACAATACCTGCTATCTGACATTTTTGCTATGCACATTTTTCTTCGTCTACCTACAGCGCACATTGTGATAGAGTCCGCTAACTGCAGAAAAATTTAGTTTTTGAATTATTTAGCCAAAGCAATACCTACCAGTGGCAATACGTTTATCAATGAGCGGCAATTCCAGCTATCTGACAATTACGCGTGCTATTTTTCTTAACTTTGCAATGAAACACGAAGTTGTGATTTTTCAGAAATATCTCACCAAAGAACATACCCAAATGGAATGTGATTCTGTACACAGTTGCATTTAAAGAAAACTGAGAAATAGTTATTGAATTATCAAATCACTATGTTAAGACGTCAAAAAAAACTAGGACAAAACCAGAGCCATATGAGGTGATCCAATTGAGTCACGACTTCTTCAAGGACTACTCTCAAACAGAGGTGCAGGGATACTCAACAATTAGACCAGGCAGGGACAATGTAGTCACGTCTAACACGAATCTCACTAAATCCATCTATGCATCATAGCACAATATCTGCTAACTGCAAAGAAAGTTAGCAGAAATATCGGCTATCTGCACTAATTTTGTCAATTAGAGCTTTATTTAGATAAAAACGCATAAAATATGATGTGTGAAACGTCATTTATCTTTTGTGACCAAAGTTGTAGAGTCTTAAGGCCGGTACTATAAAATTGATAAGGTTTTTTTCGTCCCCTATAAAATTACGGTTCCTGCATTTAGCAGGTATTGTCAGATGTCCGACGATATGTAATTTCCAGAATGGATAAGAAAAAGTTGATGCGCAACTAATTTCTAGCTTTGAATCTCAAGTAAGTGTATTTGAGACAAGAATCCAATAGATTTATCATCAACACATATTATTAGAACACAAATCCTCACTATGCACCTATGCATTACCGTTACCTCCAGTTTTGCCATCTCTGAAGCAGATTTTACATCACATCAAAGCCAAACATTGATAACTGAAGAATGATGATGTTTAGGCAACACGTACAACTACAAAACGAGTTCACAACGTGTTCACCAGCAAGTGCTAACTTAACATCTTGTAGAAAAACCTACATGTCACAAAAAACAAATATGTCAAAAAAAATCGGCATGTCACTTTTCAAGATACGTAATACCCGCGCGGAGGACCTTAGCCTTTAGGTCATAGTCACTGTAATGTCAGTGTCTGTCAGGTCTGGTGGCCCAGAAACCAGACAAGTTGCAGAAACCTCCGCAAGTTCGACGTGTAGAGAGTGAAGACCAGTGGTCCCAAAATAAACTCCTGTGCTACACCAGAAATGATAGATTTAGATGTTCAAATTTGAATGGCTTACCTTGGGTTGGACTTAGCATCGATTCCATACTTGGTCTGGAACTGCTTGCAGAAATGATCGGCGATGAGCATATCGAAGTCCCTGCCGCCTAGGTGGGGGTCGGATGAACAACTGAGCATGCGCAGCTTGCCCTTGTGGAAGGCGACAGCGCTCACCTGCAGCGAACAGTGACCGCAGTCGACGAACACTACATTGCGAGCCTTCTCCTCGGGGTTGGGCAGATCTTGCTTGTATATGCCATACGATAGAGCGGTAGCGGTAGGTTCGTTCATTAATCGCAATACGTTTAGACCTGTAAGAATGGATAGTGTCATATACATGCGGAAGAAAGATATGTAATGATTTATAGAGTTATGATAATCGTCAGAACTCACTATAGTGTCGTTTTCTCATACCACCTACCAAAATAACCTACGAGGGTTGTCCCACAACTACCCGGCCTGACCTAGAGATGGCGATGGTTGTTGCAAAAATTGTATTAGAAATTATGCAACCTATAAAGCATATGTGTCAAGTTTGAAAACGCCACGTTGTTCAGTACTTGTTTGGCAGCCATCAATACTGAACGTTTTCAGTGAATTTGTTAAAATGGAGAAAATTGGTCATCGTTATGTGGTACAATACTTTTACTTCAAAAGCCTCAGCCCAACCAATATAAAAGCTGAACTGGATTCTACTCTGGGTGAGTCTGCTCCTTCGTTTACAACAGTAAAATATTGGGTAGCAGAGTTTAAACGAGGCCGTATGAGCTGCCAAGTCGAGCATCGCAGTGGTCGACCAAATGAGGTGACGACTCCAGAAATGGTGAAGAAAATTCACAAAGCGGTACTGAATGATCGTCGACTTAAAGTGCGTGAGCTAGCAGACATAGTAGGCATTTCAAAAAGTGCGGTTCATCGCATATTATCTGAAAATTTGGACATGAGAAAGCTGTATGCAAGATGGGTGCCGCGATTGGTCACGATCGAGCAAAAACAGTGTCGTGAAGATGTTTCAATTTAGTGTTTAGCGAAGTTTCACAGCAACAAAGCCGAATTTATGCGTCGTTTCACAACCATGGATGAAACATGGGTCCATCACTTCACACCCGAGACAAAAGAACAATCAAAACAATGGACTCAAAAGGGACAACCGGCTCCAAAGGCGAAGAGCGTTTCATCTGCAGGCAAGGTTATGGCGTCGGTTTTTTGGGATGAGCGTGGGATAACTTTCATTGACTATCTTGAAAAAGGTAAAACTATCAACGGCGAGTATTATTCGAACTTATTGCAACTTTTGAGCGATGAAATCAAGCAAGAACGGCCACATTTGGTTGAGAAGAAAGTGCTGTTTCATCAAGACAATGCACCAGCTCACAAATCCGTTATTGCAATGGCCAAAATTAACGAATTAAAGTTTGAATTGCTATCTCGTACACCTTATTCACCAGATTTAGCCCCCTCGGATTATTTTCTGTTTCCAAACTTGAAAAAATGGCTCAGCGGTCAACGATTTTCCAACGACGAAGAAGTGATGTCGGCAGTTAATGGCATATTTTGAGGAGCAAGACAGTTATTATAAAAAGGGTATCGAACTTATTGAACATCGCTGGGAAAAGTGTATAGAGCTCAAAGGAGATTATGTTGAAAAATAAATACATTTTTTTACAAAAATTTTGTGTTTTCTTCGTTGGGTCGGGTACTTCTGGGACCAACCTCGTAGTTTACTCTTATACAGATTTTTATTCATGTAGGTAATATTATAAACTTATAAACTGTTTTGTTCAAAACTGTGTCTTCTTTCCGAATATTTACATTAGACTGATGAGGATTAGTTATGTTTTTAAACTTACATAATGTATGTAAACTGTTAGTTTCAAATAAACTAACTTCCTTTTTTGAATTTCCTGATGAGTTAATTCAGTTATGTACCTCGGAGACTTTCTCTTACACCAATGTAAAATTAAATTCAAATCACGATTAAAATTGAAAAAATCAACTGATTTCGATCATGATTTTCATTGCAATCCTGGGATTATAAAAAAAACAATGGCTGGGTAAATTATATTTTGGAAAACTTCCACAACATATCTTACCTGCAATAGCAGCAGAGTCTAACAACGCCTTTCTTTCATTGTTCGTATAATAGGATGGAACTGATATCACACAGTCGTTGATGGGTGTTTGAAGGGCATTAGCAGAAATATCTTTCAATTTTGTTAACAACATAGCCAAACACTGCTCTGGTGAGAATGTATGTTCCTCATTCAAATATCTAACCTACAATAAAAAAGAGGATTTGAGTTACAATTTAGGAGTAATATAATATGTATCAGAGTCAGTAAGGATAGCTACTATGAGGCATGATAAAACCCATATTTTATGAAATTTGTTATGATTGGAGCATTATTACACCAAATTTGTTAACTCATATTTTGTCTTATTAAAAGGCTATGTTAAAAACTTTATCTAGTATTACCTTACTATAATAACTTAAATCTACTTGTATAACTGATAAAGTTACAATTATACAAATAAAATTGTTACATAACATTTGATATGGGGAATTAAACCAAAATCAGACTGATAAGATTTGATACAGATGTGCTAGATTTCACATTATAGTTAAATGTAATATGGTAAAGAAAGATTAGATACATGTTAGAATTATTATAATGTATTTGATCAATGAAAGTATTGTAATTTTTGAATATACATACTTTATCAAGATATTTGTAAGTTTCAAATAATATTTTTCTTTATTTTAATAATGCATCTGTTTTTCAAATACAATATACAGTGAGAAATAATTTTTAGAATAAAAAATATGATATACACAGTGTTTCAAATTTGTCTCTAACCATTGGGATCTTGAAAACAAAGTTGGTTGGGATTGCAAATTTGGGTAACTAAAAAAATGGCACTTAGAAAGTTTCACATTTCCGAAGACATATGAATGCAACCGCATTTTCCCAAAGTCCTTTCTCCCTTTCTATAGTTGGTCTTAACTTATCAAATAAAGAACAACCTAATGCTAATACTTTTTCATCTTGATTAAAGCTCATATTGAGAACAATGAAAACATTATTATGTAACTGACAGCAACATTTTTGAGCAAGTAATAGTCTTGATGATGTTGCAGCCCCTTAACACGCTCGCTGCCAGACATTTTTTAACATGTGTCCACTACACCAAATATATTTTACATTGAGCACTAGTGGGCCACCATATAAAAAAGACGTTGGTCCCATCAGGGCCACATTCATCATTATGGAAAAATCTAAGAAACTATACAGGGTGACTTTGAAGTTGAGTCATTAATTTTCAGATAATGATTGTAGAAGGAAGATAAACCAAAATATGTGTGTAAAAATAAAAATAAAAAAAATGTTTACCTTGTTTTATAAAGTATCCTCCCGACAAGTATTTCAGTGCGGACCTGTATTTGATCGTGAGGTCTTGGAGCACCGGCATGCCCTCCCCTGTGAGGTCTTAAGTCACCTGATTCACGAGCCCGTTGTACTACATTAACAAAGGCACGAGGGGTTGGTTGCACTCGATTGGGAAACCGATCCGCATAAACATGTGCCATTTTTTATTTCGTTTGAGCCACGCAGCAAACACCACTATTCACTCACGCGTTACCGACTGACACATTGACTGAATAAAAACATCGTGATCAACGTTTCAAATTCTTTCGCTTTTTTGTTTCCGATGCGATGAAGGCGGATTATATACGTTGTTGCCAAACACGAGCACATAATATTATTATTGAGACAGGGCGGTACTCAAACTTCTAAAGGGCTATAACTTTGTTACTTTAATTTTACCACAAAAATGTTAAAGGAAAAAACATTTATTTTGATCAGATCTACTCACTGTTAAAATAAATGACTCAACTTCGAAGTCACCCTGTATGTGCGGCATATAGCTTCTAGGCCATGTTGGTCGATTTATGCAGGCGTACATAGGTAAATGAGCGCCAACGGCCCAGCAGCTATTAGAAAATGCGTTGACCCCATGGGACCAACATAGCCTGGTAAGGCATAATATATGTTGGCCCTATTGGACCAATGCGGCCTGCTGAGGCAACATGAGTGTTGGACCAACGTAGCCGTGTACGTGTTAAACACATTTTATATCCACTACGTGTAAACCATTGCACACATATTGCATTTGTAGTCAATAAATGGGCAAATCATCTGAATGTCCATGCTTCTCAGAAACCAAAGCATTGGTAATTTAATCATGTGATAAGCTGTCATTTTGATAGCCAAATATGAATATGGCATCTATAACAAAGAATATAGTTGATGACTGAGGAGAACAAATCAAATATGGTACTTCTAGTTGTAACGTAAATGCACTTTTTACTCTGAAAGCCTATCTCAAATAAAGACAGGAAAATATAAAAGTGATTTTCTGAGAATTTTATTCTTTTGTTTATCTCCAAACATACTACTATTCGTCATTTATTTGTCTGGGCGGTCCGTAGGACCTTTGCCCATTAGTCACTGTCTGATGTACGTTAGTCGAATCTGTCAGTCCTGGTTGCCCAGAAACCAGACAAAGTCAAGGAAAAAGAGAAAGGGAAAGAGAAGAAAAAAGGAGAAGAGCAAAGAAAAACAGATATGCTTAGTTTAAGAGGAAACACCTAGGCTTTTTGACTTGGTACACGGATTAATTTTGAGGTGAACTAAACAAATTTTTGATTCGGTTTTGTTAGAGTGTAATTTTGAGTTTACTAAAGATTCACGCTAACTTTTGATTACAGTGCGAGCCGTGGCCTTGAATGTTTACGAAATTGCTCCACTGTGTAGTCCACTGAGTCACGCAACAGAGGGTTGCTGTGCGATTCCGCTTGACTATAACGTCGCTGCGCCTGAAGCTTGACATAGTCCCTCAAGTAAGGAATGTCAAGGTCTCTGTGTAGTGTCTCATTTGAGACATACCATGGAGCGTTGCAAATTGTCCGCGAAGTTCTGCTTTGCAGTACTCGAAGACTTTGCATGTGTGTCTTGGCAAGAAAACACCAAGCAGCACATGCATAAGTAATGGCTGGTCTAATAATCATTTTATATAGTCGAACTTTGTTTATCAAACTCAATTTGGAGGATCTACATAACAAAGAATATAGTTGCCGAACGCAAATTTGGAATTTTGTTTTTATGGATGCTGTATGTTTCTGCCAGGTCATGCCTTTATCAAGGGTGACACCGAGATACTTGGCAGAATTTGTCCATGGTACACGATTTCCGTCTACAGAAACCCCTGCTGGGGGGGCGCGACGTTTTTTGGTACAATAAATAGCCTGCGTTTTCGAATGATTAATTTTTATCAGCCACCGTTCCGCCCACTCTAGAACTTCGTCCACCGCATTCTGCAACCCATCGTGAACCAGATCACCAGTACACGACTGGGCGACAAGTGCAGTGTCGTCAGCATAGAGGTAGACTTCACAGCTGCTGGGGGAAGGGACATCATGGATGAAAAGCGAATAAAGAATTGGTCCTAGGACCGAACCCTGAGGAACACCGGCCCGTACTGGCCGTGTTGTTGACAAAACGTTAATTTTGATCCGAAACTTCCTTCCTTCAAGAAAGGATTTCAGTAATTTTAGAAGCCAAAAAGGAAAACCCTTTTGGATTAGTTTATATAGGAGGCCCGCGTGCCACACCTTGTCAAAGGCTTTTGAGACATCCAAAAGCAAGATGCCAGTACTCATGCTAAGGGTGAACCCTCTGGTTACATGCTCCACCAGCCTGACTGCCTGTAGCTCGGTGCTATGCTCGGACCGAAAACCGAATTGGACGTCAGGAATCACATGGTGATTTGACGAAAAATTCTCAAGGTGACGATAAATCACCTTTTCGGCGAGCTTAGAAGGAACTCCAAACATACTGTGAGGAATAGTTCTGTTGGCGCCATCTGTTGGGCGAGTCTCCTAATCGCCAGAGCTTAATGGCCGATCTCTGCTTTTAGGCGAACCACGACCGCACAAGCCGCTTGGTGGCGTCTATGAGCACCGTGACAGTGGATCGCCTTCTAGATCGACACGAAGTGACCTCCAACATTCTAGATGCCGCTTTGTGGTTCACCATACCTTTCTCGAAGCAGAAATGGGGTCTATAGATATCTCGGCGGCCGGGAGATGGAAGCGGAGTACTGAATACAGTAGAGTAGCAGAGCGGAGTGGAGTATAGTGCAGTCAATGGCGACATAAGAATTAGTCAGACATAAATAGTGGTGTGTATAAATGTTTTATCAGTGCATTTCTTTTTGTGGAATCCAGTGTTTTAATCCACACCCAAAAGAACCCAGAAAAACGCTACAATACTCATAATTGAATAACATTTTAAGTGTAATTCTTTTAGTTACTGAAATGCGCAACTTTGCCCTCATTCAACCAACTTATATCTCTTACTGTTTCCAAGATCCCAATGGTGGGAGTCAAATTTGAAACACCTGTTGTATATTAGTGAAAATACGTTTTAATCCTGCAAATTAAAAGTTAATAAAAGAACTAGGCTAATGAGTTTATTTTTGTCATATTTATATTTGCAAAATTGCACATATCAAACATTGCACATTTTATTATAGTTTTATTAAATTTGTTCAAATGATTCTAACACTCAACCAACCGTTTTTTTACTACTTCAAAAGAAGAATATCTATACTTCAAATTTTTTTTTGTACAAATGTCAGTATATAAACAATGTTTTCACTCTCTACTATCAGTTCCTACTTGTACTGTTAATTAGTGAATGTTGTATGCAATACATAAATTGTTTCTTCAATGGTAGAAATAGAAAGACAATGATAAAATGAAATTTCAAAATATGGTTAGGTAGTGTTTCTTGTAGCATTTTGAAACAGAAACACTAGTCACCCAGGATCAAACAAATCTGACCAAAAATACGTCTACAAAAATCATTTTAAACATTTGTAACATTGAGTTTTAGCATGGACCAAATCAAGGCCTAAACCAAAACCCAAACCAAAGCTTAAGTCAAGATCAAAAGGTTCAAAACCCACAACCAAAGCCAAGACCCAAAACAAAGTCTAAACAAAGCTTAGGGCTGTATTGTCAGTTGTTCCTACAATTGTAGGACACCTTTGTGGCCTCCTTGATTTTCATAGTCTTTTCTCTCCTTCAGAAAGGCTGGGGAATTACTAGATTTCTACTGTTTTGTGTCAGCACTCCTATTGTGAGGCTATGTTTTCTTTTTGAATTGCAGGAAATTTCAGGCTGATATAACAGATGATATAAATTAAAAGCATGAACAACTTGATGCAAATAGATATTTGTAACATAACCTAAAAATAGAGTGCTGGCAAAGAACTAGAAAACCATGAAAATTAAGGAGGCCATATATGCATCCTGCAATTGAAGACACAAGTGAATAAAGATGTCAGGTAACATTTTTTTAAAATTGCTCTTTTTGCATTAAACTAACCTTAAGGAGTGATTCATTCTGTGATTACCTTGTTGCAAAAACAAGATAATAACAAACTAATTGAATTGAATATTTAAAATGTCAATAAAGTAAAAGTTCCAATAAAAAATATTTAAAGTCAATTTTCTCCATAGAATGATTTTGTTACATGATAGATGCCTTTATCAACTTGTGTCTTCAATTGTAGGAACGACTGACGATATGACTGTTAAACCAAAACCAAAGCGGTTTTGGTTTGGGTTATTCATTGGGTCTTGCTACATTTTTGGAAGACTTCTATTTAAAGCATGGCCCAGTCATTTTTCACACATCAATGTTCCATTGTAGATGCAGACAAATCTGGCAATACTGCCTAGTTATATGGCAAAATGTAATGAAAATACATCATTTTTATATTCTTTTTGTGTGAAAATAGTGCTCTAATTGCAACAATTTTTCAAATTACATAACGGATACTCCCACATATGTAAAAAATCCAAACAACACAATTTCTGTGAGGCTATCACGTTTACCAGCATCTTATTTTAATTATTTTGTCGCATTCTGCGCAGGCAAACCTAATATAATTAAACACTGAACTCATGATCAATAGAGCTACATAACAAGTAAAAAGTATGTAGTGAAACAGTTCAGTGTCAGTCACAAGTGACTGGCAAGGCAGTACCTATACAGTGTGCCCAGTGGGAATGTTCACCTTTCAAATTTGAATTAAGCGACTACCGTATATTGGAAGAAGTGGGGAGAGGTCTTGATCGACGCGTTCGGCGTGCGGGTTAAATAGTCACAATGGAATGTTGGACCGGAGTGCAACGTGCTTTTGCTATCGAGGCTTACTTTAAGAATGGTGATTCATACGCAGCTGCCCTTCGGAAATATTGTACACAATACAACATTTGCCGACCAAGAGATGGCCCAAGTGAGAATCTATTGAAAAAGTGGATGAAGAGGTTCCGTGAATCAGGCTTTACTCTTAGTCAAACCATTCCTGGCCCCACACCTACGGTATCAACCGAAGAAAATGTGTGTCAAATAAGGGATTTGGTCATTGCTAATGCTCAGTGTTCTGTACTGAAGCATTCTCCTGATTTGGGAATCCCTATGAAAAAAATGGGTCTTCATCTTTATAAAATCCAATCAGTCCATGCTTTAAAGGAATGTGATTACATATTACGAAATCTTGTGCTGAATGTATGTTAAATCTTTTTCCATCGCAGCACAGTCACGAGATCGTTGTTTTCATTTATGTGGCCCATTTTCACTTAAGACAGTTATGTGAACAAGCAAAATTGCAGATATTGGGCACCAACAAACCCAAAGGGGAAACATCAACAACAGCTACATAGTCCAAAGGTGACTGTTTGGAGTGCCATATCCTTTAGCGGTATTATTCGGGCCTACTTCTTCAGAAATAAAAACGGTAATCCATTGACAGTCAATTCAGAGTGAAACAAGGACATGATTAACACTTTTTTTACTACTTTTGTAAGAACAGAATGTTGATTTAACAGAAACACATGGTTTTAACAGGATGGGGCCACTGTCCATACTTCCAGAGAATCGATGGACACAATGAAAGCTCTTCTTTCTTAAAAAGATATATCGAAAATTGGAGATATTCACTGGCCACCTAAGTCACCAAAACTCATGCTATGTGATAATTTTTTGTGGAGTTACTAATATATATGCTAATAATCCACGAACACTGGAGTTTAAAGACAACATTCAACGAGAAATAAACAACAACACTCTGGAACTCTGCAAAAGAGTGTTGCAGTGTAATATTTTCTTTTAATTGAGTTTGTATTTTTTTTTTCTTAAATCAAATAGTGAACTTTACCACTGTATTACAAACTAAACTTTGAGATGCATTAGAACTACTTAGATGAATCCAGGTTGTAAAAAATAAAAATGTTCCAGTGCATTGTCAATTCTGTTAGATTTATAAGAATTGGAAATGTTTTCTAAGCCCTGTGTTGCCCCATTTCAGTTGATCAAAATGTCTATTTCAACCATTGCTGCAAATCAATCATTAACCTACCTTTATTCCTATATTACCACCTTTTTCTTCTACAACTGTAAATGGTAGTAACTGTAGCTCTTGTTGGACATGGGGGTCTCTATATTTTCTACCTAATAAACGCTTCAAACAGTAGACAGTATTTTTCATGTTTGTGACCTGTTGGTTTTTCGCCGCTACGCCCAATATACGATTCTTCTCGGAGAAGGCAATAAATGATCTACAAATAATATGCAAATGATACAGGTTGTTAGCCCAGTATTAGTGAGTATTTTTCCCAAATTTGGATTGTAATTTTTTCACAATGGTCGATATGATTCAAATCAAGGTTACCATAAGCTGTCAATTTCGTATCGTGTTCGTATAATGAATTGAATCTGCACGTGCTATGGGGGCCCTGTAAAATGCTAAATAATGTATGATAAATGACTTAGAACTTACGGTGTGGCTCGCAAACTGTAGTCGTTAGCTATAGTTTCGATGCCGCCTGCTTTTGCAACCGCAACATAGCAGGATTCGTTACCGAAATCGATTCCTATCACAGACATTGTAGCCATTTTCGGAAATTAAATCGAATCACTCGTTTGCTGAATATATAAACTTTACAGATGCTATCACTGAATCAATAAATCGCCTAGATTATATTCGCGTTCACGCAAAGAATCACCGGCAATATTCACTCTTGGATAATCCACAAATGACTGACTGAAAGCAGAAAGCAGGAAATCGCTAATCGCTGTCTTTGTTTAATTTCCTACCAACAACTGAAAGTAAAAGTTACTATTCTGGAATCTTCTAGAATCTTCTTTTCACTTCGCTTACTACAGAATAGAGATGGGTTATGTGCAGTGTTGCCAGGTGGAGCCAACGATATTTCAGTAGAATGCTGTGGATTTTTTTCGGTAGATTGATACAGAAGAGTAAATTTTATTTAACTCAAAATATATTCTAAAACAGAAAGACAAAACAAAAATAAAAAGTTTATATCCCACTCCAGCTACCTAAAAATGAAATATTCTTAATAAAATACAGAAACAGTGTATAAAATAAAAAAATGTGTAAGCTATATTGGCTAATCAGTCTTCCGATTCATTGTTGTATAAGTTTTTATTAGTCATATTATCTGCTAATTTCGCTTTGCCAAATGGTCCATCAGCAGGTATGGCAAATTATGCTCGGCCAAAAATGCACTCAAACGAATTTCTCCTGGAAATAATAAAATAATCTATATATTCTCAAATCTTCTCAAATAAATTAATTAATTTCATCTTCTTTAATATCATTTTCTAATTCCTTTGATGTACCTGCAACTACAAATGACAACGGTTTTTTGGCTGCTTTGCTATGGTTTGCACTTTTTTTATGAAATTGCCCATTCGTGTATTTTATAAGTGCATCTCGTCCACTTGTGATATTAATATCTTTATCACAGACCATGCATTTCGCATAATCGCGCCCTTTATTATTTTTTTAAGCCAGCCTTGGGAATCTGGCAATTCTTCCCAGTCTGCTTTATAATGTTGCTACTGTCACTATTTTAGCTATTTCTCGATTCAATATTCTAAACGCACGCGAAAAAAAAATGACTGCAACACAGGTAATATCTACTAAAGGCGAGAATACACATGCTTGTTAAACGCACAGAAGCATGCCAGTTACTGGATTGTGCGTGCTACTTGCATGTGTGACTTTCTCTGAAAGCAAGAAAGCACGCTAGAAGATAGCACGCCATTAGATCGCAAGACGTTTGATTTTTATGTGCCAGTAGCAGGATTTCGTCGAGGGAATGGAGGGGAGGAAACATGCGAGTCATGTTCAAAGGGCTGTGAACGACATCGTTACCAGAAACTCGCATGAGAAAAACGGATTCTTGAACTATAGAACTATTTGTTTAGTTCCGGGCTAAATGGCTCGTTGGGGAGACGAAAAGACTTTATTGTTTGTTATGCAGTATAGGGAGTATCGGTGTTTATGGAATACATGATCTCCATTGTATAAAAATAAAATCGCTAGAGACAATGCTTACAAGTCTTTATTGAAGCAAATGACTGATAACAATTTAACATTGAAATTTATGAAAAATAAGATAAAAAACCTAAGAACAACCTACCACCAAGAGTTAAAGAAGATAAAGGAAAGTTTTCACAGACTGGCATATCCAAAAATAGCATGTGTATTTTGGGATGTCGTAGGACAAGTAGTTAGCATACAAGTTACTGGCCACTGGCATGCTATTTTACTGGCATGTGTATTCTCGCCTTAATACAGGCATGGAATTGTCAAGAGCCGCTAGGCCTACGTGGTGATTCCCTAGATGCGAAGAATCAGCGTATGTGGCACACCAATGTCAGGCAAAGAGAATAAAAATATATCTGGTCTAGTACGAATAATAATAGTACTTTGGTGATTCTTTTTATCGCTATGTCTTAGAAATATTTCTCTGATGTAGGGAACAAAAATTATGCAATTGATAGAAAGTCCACTTTTCGGTAGATTTTGCTTTAAAATCGGTAGTTCGGTATACCAGGGCCAAAATCGGTAGATCTACCAAAAAATCGGTAGACCTGGTAACACTGGTCTGTGTGCTTTCAAACTTCATCTGGTCGTCTCATTATAAAAATCAAGGGTCGCCTATGGCTCGTCCACTGGGTTTTAGAGATGATTAACGTATTCTAACAGGTTGAATACGTTAATCAGTGTTTTCCGCAATGGTGTAAGGTTCGTCTCTGTGAATACCGAAAGGGCCATTTAGTTTTTTTTCAAGTGGGCTAGTAACTGCCGTTCAGTCCAGGCTACAATAGGAATTTACTGAATGTCCATTAAAGTCAGCGACTATTAATTCCTGGCCGTATTTGACATCTGATCAGGTGTAGTAAAACAAAAACAAGACTCGTATCGTCAGTCGTCCCTACAATTGTAGGGTGCGTTTATGGCCTCCTTGATTGTCATACTCTTTTCTCTCCTTCAAAAATTTCTAGATTACACTCGTCCCATGTCAGCGTCAGCGCGCTCCTATTGTTAAGATATGTTTTCCTTTTAAATTGTAGGAAATTTTAGGCTGATATAACTCAAAAGCAAGCACAATTTGATGCAAATAGATGTTTGTGACATAACCTCAAAATAGAGCTCTGACACGGAGAAGTAGAAAACTATGACAATCAAGGAGGCCATAAACGCGCCCAACAATTGTAGGGACGACTGACAATATGGGCCTAAGTTAGTGCCTGCCACTGTTACAGGACGCTAAAATCATGACACAACCAAGATATTTTCTTCCTTTTTGTGCGAATGACCTTACTTTTTATGGTAGTTTTCGCAGATAAACGAAATTATTAATGGAAAGTAGTTTTCTTGCTGATTGTAAATTTAATTGGTGAAAATCATGGCCGTAAAATTCAAACCAAAAAGAAAGATTTTTCTACAACGAGTTAAAAAACACGAAGAAGTACAAAAATAATAGCAAAACTTTATGATTAATAAGATTGTTGGAATTAAATCAGTTTTGGTACACTTTTAAACAAGATAAAACTTTAGGCTAGAAATTGTGCACGAAAATACACCCAATAACTCTAATTCTGAAACAATTTTAAGATCAGTCTCTACTTGTCATTGATCGGCAGTAATAGTGGATTGTAGTATTTCAATATCTCCCTGCCATTGTGCACCTTGATATGGAATGAATAAAATAAATCGATATGTTTAAAATATCGAATATGGGATGGATGTCCAGAATAACTGGGAATGTTCGTGAATCTACGGAAGTTTGCAGTGTTGCCAATATTGCCGAGAAAAAATCTGTTTTTGGAATTAATCATTTTGGACGTTACATTCGTTCCGAGTTAAGGGGAGGATTTGAGAAGAACAAAAAACATAATTTCCTCATATTTTGTGCATTATGGTATTCTGGCGTAACTCCTACAAATCGTGAAAAGAACGATCCAAGAGGTAGAGAAAACGTGTTTTTCCAAGACTCGGTTTGTGGGATGGGATTCATCTTGGATCCGTCAGTCTTCAAATCTGACTCTCTGGACAGCCCATCACTAATTAGATAGTGCTTTTTAATTTTCAACGGCTGGTAGAACTGTGTTTGACTTTTCCGCCTTCTCCGTCTCCGTGTCTTTTCTTTCCTCACGACTCCTCCTTTGTTTTTTGCCCCTTCTCTTTCGCTTTCTTTTAGGCTAGTCTCTTATGTGTTTTGTGGGCTAGTGTGCGGTTGAAGTGTTGTGACTTGTGATTGTTGTCTTGTTTTTTTAAATTTGTACTCCAACTACTGCGTATTCGGAGATGGAATTGGTGGCTACCATCGGGAACCGAGAAATAAAGTATAATTTATATGGTAAAATCCGAAAATCCTGAAATATTTATGACAGAAATTAGTGTACTGCCAGCAACAGAGTCATGGACGATGGAGAAAATAGCAGTTCATTGGAAAGCAATATAAAAAGATGCAGAATACTCAGGAGAAAATCAGATCAGTCCTCAAAAAAAGTATGTGCAAGAGAAGAAAAGAATGCTTCTATCAAAAAGGTGATCATCGGAAATTTTTTTTTGTTTACATCTGCTTATAAGGAGCTCTCCATGTATGTTTATATATAAACCAGAATATACAGCTCAAACGTTTATTAATATTCAACACAGGTTGTGTTATCAGACAAAAATTCGAAATGCATGTTTATTTGGTTTATTTTTACTTCATGGTCATCTAAAATCATAAGGAATGCTATTAATTAATTCTATAGTCCCTATTTTTCTAACTTATAGTGGTCTGAGTATTACTGATAACACAGGTCCACAAAATTAAAAAAAAAAGGTGTGTAGTGGGGTTCAACTATATTTTTCCTCTGAGCACAAAGTTACTTAACAAATTTCTATAAAAGTATACCACCCATCTTATTTAACAAAAAATCCTTAAATCCATATTTTTAAAATATAATATCATGGAAAATGTACATAGAATAAGTTTTTAGTTTTCACTACTTTTTACGAAACTCCAAGTAAAAAAAATTATCTTTTTCACAATTCTTCAAGCTACTTAACTTTGAGGAAATAGGTTTGGTAGAATCATCATATTGAAAACTTCCTTGTTTAGGTTGTTTACAATTTTTAATGTGCTTGCCCATGCTAGCCACCAGTGGCACTATATCTATATCCATATTGCAGGTTAAAGATGTTGCTCTTTTATTTATTTTCGAGCCAGCTTTGGCATCAGTCTCCTTAAAATATTTCCACACGGGATCCTTTATTCTCCCTGTCATTGCCTTTATTTTTTTGCCGATCTTTAATGCACAAAACACAAAACATACCACCACGCTATGACTTCGCACGTTTGACTGCTGGAGGTCGCAACAGTACTTCCCCGACATCTGCTTTTAAATTAGAGATGTGCTCTGATAGCTGTATCAAAAATAGTAATAACACTTTCAAGAAACTTCATTAATGTTGCTAGATTATATAGGCAATAGTTTTTAATTTTTTTTTACTGTTTTAAACATGCATTAACAGTGTTTTAAACATGTTTTTTTTTCAGATAAATTTGAATGTTTTAAACAAAAAAAACAGTTTTAAATAAAAATAACATTTTTATGTTAAAAAGAAAAAACGTTTTTTTCAACCCTGAAACATTAATAGTAAGATTATTTTCCCAGGTTACTTCCATCCTTCAAAAGCAAGAGAATGAGAGATCTGTTGAGGAAATTCAAATACTCCTAGAATGCCAAGATGCTGTAGGCAAGGTACAAGAAAGATGGAAGAGAAGAGAAGCTGCTAAAAGAAGACTAGAAGAATTTGAGGATCCTAAGGATGTCCTGAATGAAAAATGTCAGATTCTTGCTCAAGCAATTGCACAGTCTCAGCATCTTATATTTTATACTGGAGCTGGGATAAGTACAGCAGCTAAAATACCAGATTATAGAGGGCCTAATGGAATTTGGACACGGTTGCAGCAGGGAAAAGATATAGGGTGAGAAACTTTTTTATTCCAATGTCAAGATCAACGTGAGAAATAAATTAATGTTACATGTATAACTAGATATCATATTTATCATACTTTTACTGACATAAATGTTAGTGAAACGTGTACACTCTGTACCACTCTGTTCCATTTCAATCACACCACCTAAATCTACTCAGTGACATTTGAAGTGTTACACCCAGAAAAAATAATTTCTTCAACATGGTTTTTTTTTTTGGCAACATAATGACTATATTTAAAGCATGTTGTGGCGATAATGTCAACGTTTTATCTTTGTTTTTTTTCCTTTGCTAAAATGTTATCTCTTAGTTTTTGTGAAGATAGCAGTTTCTGAGAGCTGAGTAATACACATATTTTTAATTATTGCCCTTTCATTTACTAGTGTTAAGTATAACAAAATGTCTCGAGTTCGAAGACTTCCAAATTATCACCATGTTACAGGAGTAAAATGATTGCCTATCAAGATTTTGGTTTTTCCTATCGCGAAATTGTCTTCCGTGAGAGGAAAAAAAGATAGGTGCTTCAGACAACTGACCCCACAGGACCGTTTTGCTACAATGCGTCAGATCGCTGACCAATGGTTTTGAGAACAAAGTAGTCCTTTTACTATGCGTACACCCTATGCCCGCATACGAGCCTTTGTACTTTTTTCATACTGTCCGCGGTTAGTGTCAACGTTTGAACTGGAGCAGAGAATGGCAACATTGGGAGGCAGAATGGAACAATGTCAGTGACGAATCGCAATAATAATATTAAATCTTTATTTCAAAATAACAGTGCATGATCACTGTGTATTACACACTGTTAGGTGAAATATACCTCACAGAGTCATCAAGACAGAAAAAACAAAGAGGCAAACATATAACATAATACAGATTTATATTTCAAAATATTCTTGAAGGTCATATGGTGTGCATTAACAATTGATAAACACTTTTTTATATTCTTTTATATCCGACAACCTTTAAATTTCTTACCCATCATATCCCACACGTGCTCAATTGGGGATAAGTCGGGAGATCTTGGTGGCCATGGTAACAATGTGACATCATTATGTTGAAAGAAGTCTATTGTGACTCTTGCAACATGTGGTCGGGCATTATCTTGTTGGAAAGTTGGATCTGCCAGGGTGTCAAGATAGGGTAAAAGATGGGGTTCTAGAACTTCGTGAATATAACGCTGCGCGTTCATGTTACCTCTGATGAAGATTAAAGGTGACCTGGAACCATAAGCTATAGCACCCCAAACCATAACTCCAACAGTGTGATGAACATGTCTTTCAACAAAAAACTGTGGATTCCTCCTTTCACCACGTCGTCTTCTAACCCTGGCACGACCATCGTGCATGCCTAAACAAAATCGAGACTCGTCACTAAAGACAATACTGTTCCATTCCTGATCCCAGAGTGACCGTTGTCTGCACCACTCAAGGCGATTACGTCGGTGTTCTCGAGTTAAAGGGAGGACCCAGTGTGGCCGTATGAAAACAAGCCAAAACTTCTCATTCGTCGGTAAACACTTCGCATGCCAATAGGTCTTCCGTGTTCTGCAAACCATTAATTTGCAATGGACCTGGTAGTGGAGAAACGGTCCCTTAATGCCAATAATCTTAGGCGGCGATCTTCACGGTCTGTTGTTCTACGGCGGCGTCCAGTGCCCCTTGCTCTTTGCGTACGGCCTTCTCGAAGCCATGCCTGACAACACCTAACCATAGTGTCTACACTTCTTTGCACTCTAACTGCAATTGCCCGAAAAGAAAGTCCAGCTTCCCGAAGTCCCACTATACGGCCCCTATCAAACTCACTAAGTTGACGAAATCGTACAGGTCTCCGTACTCTAGGCATCGTAACCGATCGTAAAGGATGTCAAGAACCAAAATCCGCCAACGTTGATTCTTTACTGCGGCTGAAATAGTCATTTTAAGAGCGTTAGTGAATTAAAAAAAAGCAGTATAAAAACCGGAATATCCAACTGATAAGGCTGAACATTTTTTCACTTGTTATCTACAGTAAGATAAATACATTCACCAACTTTTATTAAAATAAAACCATTTAAACTGGGTGTTCGGATTTATATGTCACTTAGTATATTTTAGTGCAGCTGCAATTGACATTTTTTCGGAAACCGTGAGATGATGGACTGGATACAGAAGATTTATATTTCTATTTCTTGTGTCTTGTGTCACTTCGGGGGTTACCGATAAAATTGTCAATATTTAAAATTAGAATCTCTTGAATATACAGTACGGCTACAGTTAAAATTTTATTACTCTTATATTTTCCTCTGCAAGTCTCTCTAGAGGAAATTTTTAGGATGTACCTCAGCACTTGCTTCTGCACTAGAAAGATCCTATTGGTAAGGCTACTATGTCCAAAAAAAATTATTCCAAAACGTGCAATGGACTCAAAATTGTCTTAAGGTCTAGGTACTTAGTACTCTAATGCTATAACATGCGTTGTTTAACCTTTTTTCTAGATGTTCTATATGCTTAGCCCAGGAAACTGCTTGGTCCTCCCAAGAATTTCCCACAGTCTGTCAGCGGGACTTCTATTCTCTCGACTAAAGTGATGTTTGTAGTTTCGATTTTTTCTTAGCTTAAAAACAATCGCACTTGTTTTTGATGTATTCAGGGATAATCCATTACGAGCAAACTATAAAAACGTTTTCTCGCAGAGGCTCAAAGTACTTTCAGGTGAATGGTTGAAATCTTGGCCAGATGCTAGTGTCATCAGCGTATTGGATCGTGCATACGTTATTTGGACTTGTAATACTAGCACACAGATCGTTGACAAAAATCAAAAAGAGGAGAGATCCTAAGACGCTACCTTGTGGAATACCTCTTTCTACCGTTAACTGTGATGAAACGGCTGTTCATCCTTGTTTGAATAACTTTTATCTCGTATTTGCTTATCTAAGTATTCCCATAGATTTTCAATGGGGTTTATATCGGGAGACTGTGAAGGCCATTTGAGAACTGGTATTTTTTCATCCAGAAAGAATTTCTTTGCGAGATTTGAAATGTGCTTCGGATCATTATCTTGCTGGATATAGGGTAACATGACATGCTTTAGTATGTCTGTATATAATGCCATCTATTCTATGTCAAGGTCCCATCCCAAACCCCCGAAAAGCACCCCAAACCATAACAGACCCGCCTCGATGTTTGACAGTAGGCAAAGTGTACTTGGGGTTCAATCTTTGTCCACTAGGACGTCTAACGTAATAGATAGATAGATACATTTATTGTCTTGTAGATCAAAAAAAATGACATAAGACTCGTCCTAAGAGGGAGGTACATAGTACACATAATTAAAAATAAAAACGAAACAAACATAAGTATTTACAAAGTACAAACAGGGACAACGTAAAGCGTACAGACATACACATATAAAAAAAGTTTAAAAAAATATATCACAGTGCGAGGTATTCTGACAAAGAGTAGAAACATTTTTCAACTAATAATTTTCGTAGTTTACATTTAAAACTAGCAATACTACTGACATTCCTGAGGTTAGCTGAAAGTTTGTTGTATATTCTGTTGCAGGTGTATTCCGGTGACTTTTCGAACAGCGTCAGTGTGTGTTTTGGAATACCATCTGATCCAAACATATTGAACTTGAATTCGTCACTGAAACATATCCTTTTCCAGTCACAGATGCTCCAATCACGATGCAACCGTGCAAATTGTAATCGGTCCTTACGGTTTTTCCTCGAGATTAGCGGCTTCTTACTCGGGCGACGTGCAAATAACTTCAAATCATTTAATCTTCTACTTATAGTTTTCGTAGAAACACAGACAATTCCTTTTGTCTCGATTTCAGCTTTTATTTGTCTTGGGGTTTTGAACGGATCTTTGGACGAAATTACTTTTATTAATCTAACTGATCTAGCATTTAGTTTTCTAGGTCGGCCACTTCTCTTAGAGGCTTCCAAGATACCTTTTTGTTTGTATTTGTTCAATATTGCCCAAACTGCTTTACGCTTCAGCTTCAAATTTTTGGCAATGTCGACTTGACGTTGACCATCTTTGTATAACTCAATGATCTTAGTTTTCACATCGAAAGAAATGTCTGGGCCACGCGGCATGGTCTTAAAATCACTCAACTTATTCCACAATACTTGATGGACACAAACTAATCCTCTTCTGACACGAAACTGTACTAAACTAATGTTGAAAAGAATTTGTCTACATATTTTTGTCCCTCATAAAAAAGTGCTTATATTCAGACTTGTATTGTATTCATTGCAGATAATGTAAAAACAAGGAATTTAGTTTTTGTACTAATAACGCATTTGTTTATGGAGCAATGAAGTATGAATTCGTTTTCTAAAGGTATTTAGGTAAATATTCATATTTGTCTATATACTTTTGTCCATTACTGTATGTTAAAATTTCGTCTAAAATTGTTTTGACCACCACTGTGGCTTTTTTCAATTACAATTATTGGTCAAAATGTAATACAATAAACACGTGTGATACATCATTGAATTTTTGAAGTTTATAATCAAAAAGTCATGAATTATCCATAAATTTTGCTCTGACATTATGCTGTTAAAAAAGTTAATAAATCGGAAGATGAGTAGACTGATGGAACAGGGTGGTATGGATTTTCACGATTATAAAACCTCAAAAACCTTGTTCAGATATTCGATTTTTTAGTTAGACCTCATGAAACTTAAATTTATCAAAGATCAGAAGAGCGGCAGATGACACTTGAACATATCATTATAATTCCACATCAAAATAATCTCTTGCAGCAACCATGACCTGAGCCTTGCAAAACCAACCTACACTCACATGGCTCTGTCTGAGCTATACCGCAAGAAAATATTAAAATTTGTCGTGTCCCAAAACTGCGATGGCCTTCATCTGCGATCTGGTTTGCCGCGATCTGCTCTGTCCGAACTCCATGGCAATATGTACATCGAGGTTTGCAAAAATTGCAAGCCACACAAACAGTATTGGAGGCTGTTCGACGTCACCGAGAATACGGCAAGGTAAAGTGAATACAGTCAAAAAGAACAAACCCATAGTGCTGTAATGGGGTATGGGCTGGTCGTGGAAACCACTCTTGGGAAAAGTTTGGGTCCACGGACACTTTTGTTGTTCAGGGTGTAGACCTCTCTCTAACTTTTCTGTAAGACCTTCTAGAAGAAAAAACTTTATATAAAAATTATAGGATCTAATATGAAGTTTTCCACGTAATATTTTTTTGTATACAGAGTAGGGTGTCTCAGAAAAGTGCTATCAGATGAAGTTATGTTTTTATTAAATGGAAATATCCTGTATATTTTCAGTGAGAAATGATAGTTTCTTTTTTCTGATTCCAAATATATATGGTTCTTTAAACTTATTTTTATTACTTTGGTCAAAAACTTGAAGTTTGTATGTCATTTAATTAATCATACATGGATGGCTCAACGAGAACGTCGCACCACCTATTTGTGACTCTCCAGGTATCTTTTAGGAAAAACGCTCGGGACGTATAATGAAAAGTAATAAATAAGATCAAAGCTGAGTTGTGTAAGTTTTTTTTGATACAAAATTCATCACTCCAAATTTCAAAATGGCGGACTGAGGGGTTGCCGAAGTGGGGGGTTTTTCTAGACAAAACACCTTATATCTCAGTAGATAATTACCAAATTGGTTTATCCATATATGCAATAAAATTTGAGGCATTCTCTTTGAAAAATCACAACTTTGATATGTAGGTCGAAATTGGGAGACACTGTATAATGACCAATATTTCAGAAATATGCCCTCAAATGTCATGTATAACATGCCATAAATGGATTTTCCCAAAATGTATTTGTTTATGAGTAATATTCTGTCCACACATGGATGGGCCACCCTGTATATTCGATAGTACTGTTCACAAAAAATATTACAACTTTTTTTTCTGGAAGGTCATGTAAAAAGCTAGAGGGGGGTCTCATTTTATAGCCGATACGTGTAGAAATCGTAATCATACTAAATTTTTCAAAAAAAATAGCCGAAAACTATTACCAATAATTGGTCTACGTCTTTTGTATTAATTCCCTGAAAAAAAAAATGATAGCTGTTGAAACGTTGCGAATATTTTTTTGATAAGACATCTTAGATTTTTATAACTTAATTGTTCAAGAATTTGTTTGTAAATGGCGGTACTAAGAAAAAAGTATACAGTCTTCTTTGCTTCTTGTTCTGGTATTGACATTTTTATACCAAGTGTAGTTTAGTGCGATAGCAGTAAAAAATGCTATATACTTATTATCTACTGTGAATCTTTATCTAATAATGTGCCGAATTTTCTGAAACTCTCCTTTTCACGCACAATAACGCTTGATATGATAAGAGTAATGTGCAGCAAAAGTGAAAAAATTTTGGAGAAAGTAATCACTGTTCATTTGATGAGAAATTTCAAATTCCGCCGTGTTCGCTTATACTGTTTGAAGTTCTTCGCCATTAGTTTCAAAAAGCATAAGTTTGTGCTTGATTTGCAACGTTGGGGGCTGTCTAGGCCATCTAATGTGTCCACCTCAATGTTCCTCCACACGGCCTTTGTAGGAGATAAACAAAACAATGCGGTGCAGGATCGAAACGTCCCGGAAAACCAACTGAATTCATCCGCGAAGCGTAAAGAGCATCATGAAAAACAATCTGCATAAAGTAATGTACCGGGTGTTGCAAATTCGACTGTCACCATTGGGATCTCGGAAACTGTAAGAGAATCGAAGTCGCTTAAATGGAGACAAGGTTGCATATTTAGGTAACTAACAAAATGCTGATTTGAAAGTTTCGAAATACAAAGTACTTCCGGAGAGAGTCAGAAAAAACAGAATTTTCCCAAAATCGTTCCATTTTTTCTGACTTTATTTGTAGTGGGGATTTAAAATAAATTGCACATTACCGTTGTCACTTTTTCTCGTCTACAAGATGGCAGGATTAGAATTTCAATATGACGTTATGTCTCTTGTCTTCCAGCATCAATTTTATTTTTTCTTATAAACGCCATATTGGATTTTTGCACAGATAAATAGAGTTTTCAATTCTGATTCCTGATGTACTTTTGGAATAAAGGTGAGAGTGTACGGTTTAGAAATAAACCGGTATTTATGTTTGTATGTTTTTTGTCGGTCAGTTCATCGACCTTGACGAGAAAGTAGACTGCATGAATTGCGTTTGAAGTGCTGCCGCACCCGATCTGCCCCCCGTGACTTTTTCTTGTTCCCTAACATGAGGAAATGTCTCGCGGGAAAAAAATTAGCTCAAACTAGATAGTCATCCCCAAGATAGAGACGTATTTTGGAGAGTTCGACAAATCCTAGGTTTGGAGGGGTTGAAAAATGGCAGGCTCGTTGGAAAAAGTGTGTCTTTCTAAAAGGGGATGTTGAAAAATGAAAAAAATCGGTTTTGGAAAAAATGGTGTCATTTTTAACACGGTTACTTATTGAGCCGCCCTCGTATATCAGTTACGAAGTAAAAGGTGTTTGGTTCACACCCCCCAGTTATCCCACCGTCCATAATAAAAAAATAATTTGATGCTGGAAGACAAAGAGACGAAACGTCATGCTGAAATTCTAATTATAAGGAGAAAAGTGGCAATGTTAATGTGTAATTTATTTTGAAATCCTGCTACAAATAATGTCAGAGAAAAATCAAAACTATTTCGGCGAAATTCGGTTGTATTCGTTTCTCCCCGAAAGTACAGGGTGCGTCATCTATTACTTTTTTTCTATTTGAAAAATCAACACGCTTTTTACGAGGTGATACCGAATTTTTTTATTGATAAATGAAGGTCGGTTTATGCCATTTATGTATGAAAAATAGTTCAGTCCGAATATTGCGCTTTAGGTCTTGAATTGTCCGGGGACCATTCGCATAGACTTTTCCTTTCAGAAATCCTCAAAGAAAGTAGTCAAGAGGTGTGAATTTCGTGAAATTATGCGTTCTTGAAATTTCGTGTGCAGTAATACGTTTGCTTGGCGAGATGTGTGAGCCGTTGCTCCGTCTTGATGAAACCAAAGATCGTCGGCACTAATACGATCCAATTGTGGCCACAAAAAGTCTGTTAACATGCCGCGATAACGTTCCCCGTTGACGGTAATGGCCTTTTCTTTGGCATCATCAAAGAAGAATGGTCCAACGATGCCACCAGCCCATAATCCGCACCAAACAGTCACTTTTTCAGGATGGAGAGGTTGTTCATGATATTGGTGTGGATTTTCAGCCCCCCAGAATCTGCAATTTTGCTTATTTACGTACCCATTGAGGTGAAAATGAGCCTCATCAGAAAAGAGCACTTTGGCCGAAAATCATTTCTTGTGTTAGTTGGATTTTGTATGGATGGAGGTGTAAATCAATGTGTAAAATCCGGCGTAAAGTGGTCTCACTAAATCCCAATTGTTGCGAACAATCCAACGAATTCCAGGCTCTGTAGGGCGTCATGTCGCCAAAACTAGTTTAGACCGTTTCCGTAATAAGTCAGTTTGGATAACCAATATGCGTTGTTGTGTTGTAAAGGAATCCATGACTTTTGACTCACATGGTAACACATGAACTTATAGGTAAAAAAAAAATAATAGATGGCGCACCCTGTAATTTGAATATCGAAACTGTCTAATCGGCATTTAAGCACTTAAGCGACTTGGCGACACAATGGTGAGGGTCGAATTTGAAACACCCGGTAAGTCTTTATTACGAGGGTAATTATCGATTTTTTCGAATCAGATTTGCAAACAGTTCAACTTACTTCACACAACGCCTGAATACTAACGTGACTTTTCACCAACTAATGTGTTGGTTCACTTGACGCCATTTTTTTTGCAGATATTCGCATAGAACATCACGCCGTTGTTACGCATGCAATAATCCCCTAGAGGACACAATCGTTCATTTTGGCGAACGCGGACGACTGAGTTGGCCTCTAAATTGGACAGGGGCTGTACATCATGCAAACGTTGCATCGACAATCATCTGTCTCGGTTCTAGTCTGAAAGTGTTGAAAAAATACCCATGGTTGTGGCAGATGGACAAACCGGTGAAGAAACGGCCTAATTTGTACATCGTCAATTTGCAGTGGACGCCTAAAGATGACGTGGCTAATATGAAGTTGCATGGCAGGTATGTGTTTGGTATTTTGTTTTTGAAAGTATAGAATTTTACTTACTTATTTTACGTTTGCGGTGGGTAGAGGTGTTTGAAAATACTATGTACAGATAGACAAAGGCGACTAGATGAGAAAACATTCAAAACATATGCTTCATTTTAAGTTATATGCAGTGCGGACCTTGAAGTGTATTTCATGAGTATCCGTTACTTTCTGATGTCTAAGAGGTGAACAGCTCATCAGCAAGTGACGTCTTTGTTTTAATCGGTAACGTGGGCAATACGGAATCGGGTGTAAATTTGCCAACTCAGCACCGCATTTTCAAATCTGTTGTTCACATATCTTCATACCTTTACTGACTTGGAATTTTGACAATAAAATATACGATGTACGCATAATAAAATGTTTATTAGAAAATTATAATAGTACATCTGGGATTTATTGATTACGAGGTAACTCGATAGAACAGACTGCTTTATCATTTCCAGTGCCGCGGCCAAAGAAACTTTGTTGATCCGATTTTTGAACTGCCTAAGGTTAGTAGAACTGGGAAAAACCTCCGCTTGTAAATTCTTCCACAATCCTCGGGACAAAGGAGCGGTCATATCGTACAAAGATTTTTGGCTTTGGCAGAACTCGGCCATCCATCGAACCCGGATCATCGCAAGGTACAGTACTGCGTTTTGGAAGCATTAAACTGTACAAGATTGTTGCGTCCTCAAGCAGTGATAACCTCCAGGTCTCTCGTCAGAGAGGGAGTCGCTGCTTGTCTTCTTTTTTCCAGCTCACTGGCAGAGCTCGGCTTGTCGCTCTGAAGTCCTGCATGTAGAGTGCTGTTATCAGTAAAGCTGTGGGTTGGATTGATCGTACAGGAAAGGCCGTTGATATGTAAGAACAGTGTCGGGGCCAAGACCGATCCCTGGGGAACACCCTCGTTGACTTTGTTGGATGAAGAGGAGAACCCGTCAATTACGACGGATATCTTGCGGCCGGTGAGAAAGTCAACCCACCCATCTGCAAAGCTTCTCTAGGAGGACGAGAAGGCTTCTTGATGTCGAGCGACAAGAGCACCGTCTTACGCCTGTGTCCATGGTGGAGTTGGCAACAAACATCTTGGCAAGCATTTCTGCCTTAGCTTTTGAGTCGGTTATAATCGTTCCATCCTGACACGGAAGTGTTGGAAGGTTACTCTGTGAGAAGTTCCTTTCAGTCTGCTTGGCCAGCATCCAGAAAGACCGACTGCCATTGCGGTGCGACATTACCCTTTGCCTAACTTTTTTGTGGTGCTGGTCTTTGGCATTGCGGACCGCTTCGTTATATTTGTTTCTGGACTCGACCCTGGTTTAGGCACTTTCACCGTATGAGGGATGTATTCCTCCATCCCAACGTGGAAAATTCCGCTTATCGATGAACAGTCAGCAGACGCATCCGCGTCAGCGAAACAAACATCTTTCCAAAGTAAGGAGGAGAAGATATCTCTGAGCCCCTCCCAGTCGGCATGTCCGTAATGCCAAGTTTTGCGGCCTGTTCGAGTTTTTGCTTCCACAGCGGGTTCTGACCGAAACGTAACCTCCACTGCACCGTGGTCTGAGTTACCCAGAGGGGGCAGGACAGCAATGCTGTAAGGGACAGGATGCGTGGTGAGAAAGAAATCCAGCAGGCTACTGGCATTGTGACGTGGGGCTCGTCACCAGCTGGCTCAGCGGTTGAGTAATAGCGAACGCTCCAACTGCACGACCTGTTTTAGCCCAACTCATTATGGGGAATAAATTTGGGAGATGGAGTTGAGGCGAAGCCATAGAATGTCCTTCCGGTCTGATTCCAAAGAAACATCTCTGGAGCAATAAAGACTGCTGCGGGCAAAAATCACAACTCCCCCGTTCTTTCTTATATTGGAGTGCACCTCGTAATTTGAAGCTAAGAGTATTTAATCGGTGCAGTTTCCGAGATTTTTGTCTCTGCCAAGAAAAGCATGGCGGGACGATTGGATTGCAGGTAGTGAGGAACAGCATCAATGAAACTGTTTGTGAAACAAATTTTATCCTCGATGTTGTTCCCTCGTATCCACTCTCCACCCGGACATTCCGAGAGTGGAGTGAGTTTACGTCCGGAATTCTTAGTACTGGAGGGATCCATCGTCATTTATTCCTTTGTTGTGGGAAGAAGCTTTTACCAATCCAACGTCCATGATTTTTTTTCATTAAAACGAGATAACGATAACTTTTTTACATTGATTAGAAATATGTAATGAAGACGTTAGTTCACGAGTGACATACATGGCCGAAAGTTTTAACCGATTCGTATTATTTTTTTTAATTGGACTTACATATCTCTTGCGCTTTTAAAAATTGAAATCGATATATTTCCGGCCTTGATCCACTTTAGTTCTTTATTTTACATTTTCTGGTAGAAAATTGAAAACGCTAATCACAGACAAGATCCTTACAGATGTGAAACTCTACGCTTGACTTTGTAATGGGTGATTTTTTCGCTAGTATCTTTTTGGCAACACTGTTTTTGACAGATGACGCGTGAATCGTGTCTTGTGTCATTGTCAAACTTGTTCAGTTTGGTCTATAATTTAACCATGAATCGACTTACGAACGAACAACGCTTGCAAATTATTGAATTTAACTATCAAAATTTATGCTCGGTTAAGAGAGTGCATCGAGCACTGCTTCCAATTTATGGGCAATTTGGTCGGCCTATTGAGGGAGCTATTCGGAAGCTTGTGACTAAATTTTGAACCCAGTTTACATTATTGGACATTAAACCATCAACACGCAGACGTAGAGTGAGGACTGAAGAAAATATTGCGGCTGTATCCGCCAGTGTTAGTGTTGACCGTGAAATGTCGATTCGCCGCCGTTCGCAGCAATTGGGCCTCTGTTACTCCGCTACGTGGAAAATTTTGCGACAGGTTTTGGGTGTAATACCTTATAAGATACAGCTGGTGCAAGAATTGAAGCCACACGACCTCCCACAACGTTTACAATTTGGTGAATAGGCGCTGGCAAAGTTGGAGGAAGATCCACATTTTTATCGAAAAATTGTGTTCAGCGACGATGCTCATTTCTGGTTGAATGGGTACGTTGACAAGCAAAATTGCCGCATCTGGAGTGAAGACCAGCCAGAAGCATTGCAAGAGCTACCAATGCATCCCGAAAAAAACACTGTTTGGTGTGGATTATGGGCCAGTGGCATCATCGGGCCGTACTTCTTCAAAGACGACAATGGCCGGAACGTAACTGTGAATGGCGAGCGCTACCGTGCGATGATAACAAACTTTTTTTTTGCCCAAAATGGAAGAGCTGGACTTGGCTGACATGTGGTTTCAACAAGACGGTGCCACATGCCACACCGCACACAAAACAATGGCCCTATTGAGAGGCGAGTTCGGTGAACAGTTTATCTCACGTTTGGGGCCCGTCCACTGGCCGCCTAGATCGTGTGATTTAACGCCGCTGGACTATTTTTTGTGGGGCCATATTAAGGCTAATTTCTACAGGGATAAACCAGCAACGATTGACGTACTGGAAGCCAATATTGAAGCATTTATTCGTGAGATACCGGCCGATATGTGGGAGAGAGTGTGCCAAAATTGGACCTTGCGCATGGGCCATCTAAAGCGGAGCCGCGGCCAACATTTACATGAAATAAATCAAATCCTATACCTCTTAAAAAATCACCCGTTATTTAATGATGAATAACATCTAAAATATTCCTTCGTTAGCGGTTTTTTTGCATTGCATGACTGTTTATTGCCTTATTGTTGTTCATACTTGATTATTAGTCCTCAAATCTTGTGTAATTATCAATGGATTATAATACAAAATAAAACAATAAGCGGCAACGTTTCCAAGGGTGGAAATGTCAACAATTTCACGACATGATTGGCTGAAATGTCGCATTGGCACCCATATATGACATCTTTTACTTTGTACTATTCTGTAACAATTTTTGCGTTCCTAATTGTTTGACGTCCTGTTCCATGCGTTAAAACAAAGTAATCGTTCTGGAACGTCAAAAGTGCGCTTTTCGTGCCGTACTCAGAACCTTGGAAATAAGAGTGTTGTCACTTTTCATTTTCGAGGTTCATTGTTTGTTTACTTTATTCGGTTAGCAAAAAGTACTCAAAATTGGTAGAATATATATTTTTCATGACCCCCGTATCCACAGCGTTCCTTATAATAAATACAATGGTCCCAGGAAACGTGATTAGAAGTTAGCCGGCTGTCATCAAGGGTCATTACATGTCATTCATCTGCCTACATTCCATTACAGGAGTATGTTTGTTAATCACCGTACACCAGGGTTTCCCAACCTGTGTTATTCTAAACAGAAATAGATTTCATTTTTTCCCTTGCATCTTCTAAAATTATCTTTACGACACATGGTTTTATTAATTATAGTAGGAGCTATTTCAAATGAAGCTTTGAAATGCTGCGATACACCTGTGTGATAACTTCCAAATTTATCCACTCTCATCCGCTTGAGTGATTCTGCGTTAGAAGAAAAAACTATCTTGTCTTAAAAACCAGAGTATGATGTTGTTGCTTCAAATGACTTTCAAGGCGATTGGGCTTCATGCTATCATTACTTAAAACTTTCATACATATCACACACTGAGGCAATTGTAACTCGTCTTTATCTATGAAGGTAAATTCAAACTTAACGTAATCTTCGGAAAACTTTCATTTTTTCGCTGCCATTTTGCACCTATAACAATAAAACAAATAAGTAATAAAGCAAAATATCTATACAGGGTGACTTCGAAGTTGAGTCATTTATTTTAACAGTGAGTAGATCTGATCAAAAGAAATGTTTTTTTCCTTTACCATTTTCCTGGTAAAATTAAAGTAACAAAGTTATAGCCCTTTGGAAGTTTGAGTACCGCCCTGTCTCAATAACAATATTATGTGGTCGTGTTTGGCGACAATGGATATAATCCGCCGTATCGGTTCATCGCATCGGAAACAAAAAAGCGAAAGAATTTGGAACGATGTTTTTACAGGTATCTCATTCATTTGTATACAGTTAGTGTCAGTGAATAGTGGTATGTGTTGCGTGGCTCAAACGAAATAAAAAATGGCACATGTTTATGCGGATCGGTTTCCCAATCGAGTGCAACCAACCCCTCGTGCCTTTGTTAATGTAGTACAACGGGCTTGTGAATCAGGTGACTTAAGACCTCACAGGGGACCTCACGATCAAATACAGGTCCGCACTGAAATACTTGTCGGGAGGATACTTTATAAAACAAGGTAAAAATTTTTTTTTATTTTTACACACATATTTTGGTTTATCTTCCTTCTACAATCATTATCTGAAAATTAATGACTCAACTTCAAAGTCACCCTGTATATGATTACTAATTATATGCCCATTATTTTATCTTAATAACTTAATGTATTCAACAGTATATTGGCCACCGGGAGAATTATATTTTTGTAGGCAGGTTGACGTGTAATAGTAATTTTAAATGCATTTGGAATCAATATTAGGTACCTAAAGTTCGTCGTTTCAAAATTATTTCGCCACGTTGGTTTGATTGTGATGTGGTAAAAAAGTCGCAATGGCCGATCTATGAACGCGTCTCCACTCAATCAACAATTCAGTAAATTAAATAAAAATGGTAACTGTAAATGTACAAACTTACCTTTTAACAGTGAGACACAATAATTTGACACACTCAGACAGATTTCTCAAATTTTTCGCAAGTTTGTGGGAATGAAAGTCACAGATGCTCATCCGCGTCTGGTAGGTAATTGTTTTCTAAGTTTTGAATGTTATTCGGAGCGCGGCAGGGGTTCGGATTTCATGTTGTGCCTTGTCGAAACTTGTATAAACTGCGATTGATGACGCCGGGTTTTGAATCAGCGGTTGACAGAATATTTAATTTCTAATTTTATGCGTGTAAATTAAACATTACATTGTAATGTTGTTTGTTTATTTTTTCTTTCTAAAATGCTAACGCTTCCCATTGGGAGGCACGCCCCCTTGGTTGGAAACTCCTGCCGTACACAGTAATGGAATGCATATTGCCAGATGAAAGTTTATTCTGGAATGCTGTAATACCGTACACCAGGGTTTCCCAACCTGTGTTATTCTAAAGAGAAATAGATTTTATTTTTTCCCTTGCATCTTCTAAAATTATCTGCGTGGCTTTTAGGACACATGGTTTTATTAATTATAGTAGGAGCTATTTCAATTGAAGCTTCGAAATGCTGCGATACACCTGTGTGATAACTTCCAAATTTATCCACTCTCATCCGCTTGAGTGATTCTGTGTTAGAAGAAAAAACTCTCTTGTCTTAAAAACCAGAGTATGATGTTGTTGCTTCAAATGACTTTCAAGGCGATTGGCCCTCATGCTATCATGACTTAAAACTTTCATACATATCACACACTGAGGCAATTGTAACTCGTCTTTTTCTATTAATTTTTTTCGCTGCCATTTTGCACCTATAACAATAAAACAAATAAGTAATAAATAAAGCAAAATATCTATATGTGGTTACTAATTATATGCCCATTATTTTATCTTAATAACGTAATGTATTCAACAGTATATTGGCCACCGGGAGGTTTATATTTTGTAGGCAGGTTGACGTTGTAATAGTAATTTTAAATGCATTTGGAATCAATATTAGGTACCTAAAGTTCGTCGTTTCAAAATTATTTCGCCCGTTGGTTTGATTGTGATGTGGTAAAAAAGTCCCAATGGCCGATCTATGAACGCGTCTCCATTCAATCAACAATTTAGTAAATTAAATAAAAATGGTAACTGAAGTTTGTAAATCCACAAACTTACCTTTTAACAGTGAGATACAATAATTTGACACACTCAAACGGATTTCTCAACAAAACATGTACATCGAAACGTCAAGTTTGTGGGAATGAATGTCACAGATGCTCATCCGCGTCTGGTAGGTAATTGTTTGTGATGAATGTTATGCGGAGCGCGGCGGGGTTGCGCGCGGATTTCATGTTGTGCCTTGTTGAAACTTGTACAAACTGCGATTGATGACGCCGGGTTTTGAATCAGCGGTTGAGAGAATATTTAATTTCTAATTTTATGCGTGTAAATTAAACATTACATTGTAATGCTGTTTGTTTATTTTTTTCTTTCTAAAATGCTAACGCTTCCCATTGGGAGGCACGCCCCCTTGGTTGGAAACTCCTGCCGTACACAGTAATGGAATGCATATTGCCAGATGAAAGTTTATTCTGGAATGCTGTGAAAACACCAAAATTATTACACAGTCATAATATATACTAAGTGACATATAAATCCGAACACCCAGTTTAAATGGTTTTATTTTAATAAAAGTTGGTGAATGTATTTATCTTACTGTAAATAACAAGTGAAAAAATTTTCAGCCTTATCAGTTGGACATTACGGTTTTTATACTGCTTTTTTTTAATTCACTAACGCTCGAAAAATGAATATTTCAGCCGCAGTAAAGAATCAACGTTGGCGGATTTTGGTTCTTGACATCCTTTACGATCGGTTACGATGCCTAGAGTACGGAGACCTGTACGATTTCGTCAACTTAGTGAGCTTGATAGGGGCCGTATAGTGGGACTTCGGGAAGCTGGACCTTCTTTTCGGGCAATTGCAGTTAGAGTGCAAAGAAGTGTAGACACTGGTTAGGTGTTGACAGGTATGGCTTCGAGAAGGCCGTACGCAAAGAGCAAGGGGCACTGGACGTCGCCGTAGAACAACAGACCGTGAAGATCGCCACCTAAGATTATTGGCCTTAAGGGACCTTTTCTCCACTACCAGGTCCATTGCAAATGAATGGTTTGCAGAACACGGAAGACCTATTGGCATGCGAAGTGCTTACCGACGAATGAGAAGTTTTGGCTTGTTTTCATACCGGCCACACTGGGTCCTCCCTTTAACTCGAGAACACCGACGTAATCGCCTTGAGTGGTGCAGACAACGGTCACTCTGGGATCAGGAATGGAACAGTATTGTCTTTAGTGACGAGTCTCGATTTTGTTTAGGCATGCACGATGGTCGTGCCAGGGTTAGAAGGCGACGTGGAGAAAGGAGGAATCCACAGTTTTTTGTTGAAAGACAATGTTCATCACACTGTTGGAGTTATGGTTTGGGGTGCTATAGCTTATGGTTCCAGGTCACCTTTAATCTTCATCAGAGGTAACATGAACGCGCAGCGTTATATCCACGAAGTTCTAGAACCCCATCTTTTACCCTATCTTGACACCCTGGCAGATCCAACTTTCCAACAAGATAATGCCCGACCACATGTTGCAAGAGTCACAATAGACTTCTTTCAACATAATGATGTCACATTGTTACCATGGCCACCAAGATCTCCCGACTTATCCCCAATTGAGCACGTGTGGGATATGATGGGTAGGAGATTGCTCAATTTGCAACGTCCTCCTCAGACTCTAGAAGCACTTCGAGAGGAGTTGGTGGTTGCCTGGAATGAGATACCACAGGAGGACATTGGCCACCTGATCAGAAGCACGCCTAGGCGCGTTGGAGAATGCGTAGCACATCAGGGTGCATCCACACATTATTAAAGGTCAAAGGGCTTTAAAGCAGTGCAATCATTTTGAAAATTTTATCATTTACTTATTATGCTTCATTAAGTACTTATACAAAATTTTATTAAAATAAAACCATTTAAACTGGATGTTCGGATTTATATGTCACTTAGTATATATGATATTTGATGACACACGACTAACCACGTTTTCTGGGACCATTTTAATTATAAGAAACGCTATGGATGCGGAGCAGCTTATTAATCATGAAAAATACACAGGGTGACCCAACGAAAAGGTCGCACCCCCATTCGTGACTCTACTGGTGTATTTTTGAAAAAATGTTCGGAAACGTCTTTTCATCTATAGCCTTACAATATCAAGTGATCCAACAATAAGATATTGCGTTACACTTTAGATTTTTAAATGGAAATCCCCATTTTTTTTTAATTTTTATATTTAGGAAGTTTTTACTAACTTTTGTATAATAAAGTTTATACCTATCTTCAATCGTTGTGAACGCAGCCCAGTGTACGATATTACATTACCAAGTGATTTACTAACGCACTCCTGGTGGACAACTGCAAACGGACTAGCAACGTGAGTGCCAGCAATCATTGAGCGTCTGGTTGTGTTGCCTTTTTTTTGTTAGAATGCCTGTATTTGAATACATGTGCTGCAGAGTCAGGTTGCAGTTGCCACTTGTTTTCATCGAAACCAATTTACTAGCATTTAAACAATTTTGCACAGGTGTGATATGGTCATGAAGAAAGTGATGGATCTCTTGGGTATCTCCGTGCCACCATATCAAAATCATCTGGACCCAATTTACCAGCATGCCACCGAACTGAACGAAATGGAAATGCATACTACAACTCAACCATTTTTAAAGGCATCAAGTGAAGGTATCAAAGAAGAAAAGTCGGAATCTGAAGTACAAACAGAAATGAAAGACTTTGTAAATGATGCACCCCTTGATATCAAGGATGACCTGTTAAACTGTGATAGTAGTGATAAGAGTAATTCATGTCTTCCTGAGCAGGAGATGTACGCAGAAATAGACCTTTTCAATTCTGATTTTCCCATAATTTTTAGTGATTACTCAGAATTATTTTTGTATCCCTATCAAACAAGTTTTTTGTATTCTGGACTGCATAGTATCATTAATCCTGTGCAGGTTTTCACAGAAAGACAGACAGAAGATAAACTGGTTTTAACTGTAAGTAAAGCTAATGAAAAGCTGCCCGAGTGTGAGTATTGTAATACTCACCTAGATTCCAAGTCATGTTTGTTCTATTTAAAGTGTGAACCTGTGTTTGCGAATGAACTGTTTAGATATAGTAAGATAGAGAAAAAAGAAAAGCCAAATATTTGTGTGTGTTGTGACTATACTACTGATGAAGATGATAGTGAATCGTATATAGATAATTCTAATAAAAAGATTGTTGCCGGATGGTTTGGTAAAGGGTATAGAAAAGGCAAAAAGACTAAAAAAAAGACACTCTAAAATCATCCTATTAACAGTATTATTTTTTTTGTATTTATTTTGTATGTGTACCGATTTGTGTAATTTTTTTAATAAACAATTGACAATCTAACAGTATTTTGATTGTTTTTTTTTTGTGGACAACAAAAACACTTTTGCAAGTACTGAAAGATATACCATGCTTGCTTTTTTTGTGTGCATAAATAAGTAGTGGGATCTAAAGATAAATTCAGCTCGGACAAATTTGTTGTGCAGTGACTTGTATGACAAGTGGTAGACAAATTTTAAAATATTAATATATTTATAGTGTATGGTCAGCTTCAGAAAATAATTCGTACGTCAAGTAAAGTGATAAAGTCTATGATTTCAAATGTTAACAAAATTATGGAATATGGCCATCACTGAACCATAAGTGACAATTTTCAACTAAAACTGATCACTTTTAAGTGCGTGTTAAATATACTAAGTGACATATAACGCCCAGTTTAAATGGTTTTATTTTAATAAAATTTTGTATAAGAACTTAATGAAGCATAATAAGTAAATGATAAAAATTTCAAAATGATTGCACTGCTTTAAAGCCCTTTGACCTTTAAAAATGTGTGGATGCACCCTGATGACGCATTCTCCAACGCGCCTAGGCATGCTTCTGATCAGGTGGTCAATGTCCTCATGTGGTATCTCATTCCAGGCAACCACCAACTCCTCTCGAAGTGCTTCTAGAGTCTGAGGAGGACGTTGCAAATTGAGCAATCTCCTACCCATCGTATCCCACACGTGCTCAATTGGGGATAAGTCGGGAGATCTTGGTGGCCATGGTAACAATGTGACATCATTATGTTGAAAGAAGTCTATTGTGACTCTTGCAACATGTGGTCGGGCATTATCTTGTTGGAAAGTTGGATCTGCCAGGGTGTCAAGATAGGGTAAAAGATGGGGTTCTAGAACTTCGCGGATATAACGCTGCGCGTTCATGTTACCTCTGATGAAGATTAAAGGTGACCTGGAACCATAAGCTATAGCACCCCAAACCATAACTCCAACAGTGTGATGAACATGTCTTTCAACAAAAAACTGTGGATTCCTCCTTTCACCACGTCGCCTTCTAACCCTGGCACGACCATCGTACATGCCTAAACAAAATCGAGACTCGTCACTAAAGACAATACTGTTCCATTCCTGATCCCAGAGTGACTGTTGTCTGCACCACTCAAGGCGATTACGTCGGTGTTCTCGAGTTAAAGGGAGGACCCAGTGTGGCCGGTGTGAAAACAAGCCAAAACTTCTCATTCGTCGGTAAACACTTCGCATGCCAATAGGTCTTCCGTGTTCTGCAAACCATTCATTTGCAATGGACCTGATAGTGGAGAAACGGTCCCTTAAGGCCAATAATCTTAGGCGGCGATCTTCACGGTCTGTTGTTCTACGGCGGCGTCCAGTGCCCCTTGCTCTTTGCGTACGGCCTTCTCGAAGCCATGCCTGACAACACCTAACCACAGTGTCTACACTTCTTTGCACTCAACTGCAATTGCCCGAAAAGAAAGTCCAGCTTCCCGAAGTCCCACTATACGGCCCCTATCAAACTCACTAAGTTGACGAAATCGTACATGTCTCCGTACTCTAGGCATCGTAACCGATCGTAAAGGATGTCAAGAACCAAAATCCGCCAACGTTGATTCTTTACTGCGGCTGAAATATTCATTTTTAGAGCGTTAGTGAATTAAAAAAAAGCAGTATAAAAACCGGAATGTCCAACTGATAAGGCTGAAAATTTTTTCACTTGTTATTTACAGTAAGATAAATACATTCACCAACTTTTATTGAAATAAAACCATTTAAACTGGGTGTTCGGATTTATATGTCACTTAGTATATCTTTTCGTGCATAACCGAACGATATATTGAAGTTGTTTTCAAAGATTTCTCGGAAGGATTCATAGAAAATTTTGTTTTCAACATTGCCAATAGAATACATTTTGTGTAATTTTGCGATATTTAGATTTTCAGGTAGGCAAACTTTTTGCGAACCTGAACAAGGAATAATGAGATTTGCGGCGTTGACGAGACGAGAAGAATCAGAAGGAATTCACACTAACTAAAGAAATAGAATCTTTTCGCAACGAACTAAATGAGAAAGGCAGTCATATTTTTTAAGAAGCTGTGTCGAGGAATGACAAAAATTTTAATCACAAATTAAAGAGCGTAATGTAACCATAGGCAGTGAAATTCCGAATGTGTTGAAAACGAAGATGGCTGACTTTATAGCGGTTTTGGAATCATGGGATGCTTGTAAGAAAGAACTGGAGAAGAATTCAACGATTTGACAAAAACATGGTCGATAATCGCTCAACGCATTGAAAGTCTTCAAAAACGAAGAAATCACGCAAAAAATCGAAGCTACAAACATCACCTTAGCAGAAAGAATAGAAGTCCCTCTGACAGACTGTGGAAAATTCTTGGGAGTTCATATTGACCAAGCACTTTCCTGGGCTAAACATATAGAACATCTAGAAAAAAGGTTAAACAATCCATGTTATAGTATTAGAGTACTAAGCAAGTACCTAGACCTCAAGACTCTAAAAATGGTATATTACGCGAATTTTGAGTCCATTGTACGTTTTGGAATAATTTTTTTCGGACATAGTAATAAAAAAAAGACTATCTCTGAGGGATTCAGTGGGACGTCCTAATCTTGAAAGCAATCAACATTCACTATTGAAAACAATCGCGGATATAGCTTTATTTGGAAGTGCAGCAGATGATAGAAGACGAACGGAATCAATTCGCAGCGTAAAAACTCTTGATGAACCCACACAAGAATTACGTAAAATAAGATTTGACATTAGTCGCAGTGGGATATATCTTCGTTTGATTCCCAGAAAATTTAATTCTGCAGATGGACGAAGACATGTATCGATAATCCCTGTTAAGCTCATTCAGGCTCAAACTGATCACCACAAGAGCCACTTAGATAGCAAGTTCTCTGAAACATCAATCCATTATTTAGAGAACATAGCATCCATACTTGGACCAGATCAATTATTTTTCATATCTCAAGATGATAAAGCTCGAGTCCCTATTGGCGTAACTGCGGCAAATAAGCAAGCACCTGTTCTAATGGACATGGAATATAGAATCAAATTGCCTGATCACGATTGGGTAATCGATGAGCATGATAAATTAATACCATCTGTTTATGCTGGTATCAAAATCACTTCCAATATGCTAGGACAACCGCAAGCCGTTGGATATTCTGGACCAACATACATCGCTATTCGAAGTGGAAAGCGTAGTTCATCTACTGCTAATACTCATGCTCAGGATTTCGTGACGCTTCTCGAACTTGAAAAGTTGCGACCATTAGCTAAAACTGACCATGGACTAGTAAAACCAGTGATATTCATGACGGTTGATGGAGGGCCTGATGAAAATCCACGTTATCAAAAAGTCATAGGGTTTGCTATACAACACTTTAAGGCGACATGATCTCGATGCATTGTTTTTAGCTACCAATGCTCCTGGAAGAAGTGCGTATAACAGAGTAGAGCGCAGAATGGCTCCTCTTACTCGGGAACTGGCTGGTATATTGCCTCATGACCATTTTGGGTCTCATTTGGATGAACGCGACGTTAAGTGCTTCACTCAAAGATTTCCTGCAAATGCCCTACCATTATTTTTGTCCGACGGTAAAATTGAGGCTAACAAGTCGAACATGCAAAACGTGTGGTCTTTATCATGCTTCCGTCAAGTCACTGAATCGTCACATCGAAAATATCCATAAAAAAGTAAACACGCACAGTGATACGAAAGTTAGACCTGTAAGAGTCGCTGCTAGTCGTGCTGATGAACTGATGTGCATTATTCAAAATTTAGAGCACCATGATGTTGAATGGCTCGATGAGAACGATGTAGACATTCCAAAATCCAATGAAAGTGAGCAAACTCACAACACTGAGCAGCAATCGAAGCAATCCAATGTCATCAAAAACTTTGAATCATGGATTCAGGTTTCATGGACTGAAGACTGTTAATTTGAATTTAATATATGTACCAAAAATTTAAAATAAGTTTGTTATGTTAGTAAGATATAATATTTTTGTCCTTTACTCTATGTTGAATACTGTATCAGTAAAATATAATCTATATCCTAAATCTATTTTCTTATTTTTCAAATTATAATTGTAAGGTGATAATTATAATATTAAAAAAACAATACATTAATTGATAAATGTTTACGTAAGCATGGGGGGAGAGGGTAAGAGCTTTGCTTACTTTTGGTGAAAAGGGGGATGTAAATAATTGTAATAAATCTGCTTACGTAGTACTTGAATGGCCCCATATCTTGAGAATTTAGAATTTGCGGTCGTATGTTTATATGCCCTTTTTGCCATAAAATTACTCAAAGAATCATCTGTTAAATTTATGGTACATAATTAACACCCTGTATAGTGAAACCAGATTAAAGGAGACAGTCAAAGCTGTGAGGAATGTTGGGAAATTGCTTGTGATATATAAACAGTGTTGTAGTTCAAAGTTGACAGTGCAGGACTGGAATATAGGAAAAAAAAAATAGTTTCTTGTTCTTTTTTATGTAGTTCGTATGTATTTTTGACAAACACATCCATATCAAATGGACTCTGTATGAGTATGTCTGTTCTACATACCCCATGTTAGAAAAGTTAAAACTGTACTAATGCATCCATTTTATCTTTCACTATATTTCCACAGATATTAATTTATGAACTGTTTCTCATTCCTTACTGTGCTGGAGCAAACATATAGTATCACTAATTAACACCTACATTTAATAAATGAATAACAACTTGTGTTTGCAGGAAACACTTCACTTTTGGAAAGGATAATGGTCTAAATTAGTATTGTACTCAAATTTAGGTTTCCCTTGTTGTGATTTAGCTTGTTCTATGAGGTTTAGCACATCATTTCTGTATGGTGGAGGTTTCATTTCATTGTCCAAGGTACATTCAAATCCTACTGGTTCAGTTTTCTTATATAGTCTTCTTCGTACTACATCAACATCCCTGATGTACTCATCGAACAGACTCGCTATAGATGACGGCGGTGCATTGAATTCAAATAAGAAATAGTCAGCTTTGTTGT